GCTTGGTTTGTGTCCCTCTTTCAGGTGGAGGTGGAGGCAGTGTCCCTGGGATCGAGAGGATGGGTCCTGGCATTGACCGCATTGGGGGTGCCGGCATGGAGCGCATGGGCGCAGGCCTGGGCCATGGCATGGATCGCGTGGGCTCTGAAATCGAGCGCATGGGCCTGGTCATGGACCGCATGGGCTCCGTCGAGCGCATGGGCTCCGGCATCGAGCGCATGGGCCCACTGGGCCTCGACCACATGGCCTCCAGCATTGAGCGCATGGGCCAGACCATGGAACGCATCGGGTCTGGCGTGGAGCGCATGGGTGCCGGCATGGGCTTTGGCCTCGAGCGCATGGCCGCACCCATCGACCGTGTGGGCCAGACCATTGAGCGCATGGGCTCTGGTGTGGAGCGAATGGGCCCTGCCATTGAGCGCATGGGCCTGAGCATGGAGCGCATGGTGCCCGCAGGCATGGGGGCTGGCCTGGAGCGCATGGGCCCTGTGATGGATCGCATGGCCACCGGCCTGGAGCGCATGGGCGCCAACAACCTGGAGCGCATGGGCCTGGAGCGCATGGGCGCCAACAGTCTCGAGCGCATGGGCCTGGAGCGCATGGGCGCCAACAGCCTGGAGCGCATGGGTCCTGCCATGGGCCCTGCCCTGGGCGCTGGCATTGAGCGCATGGGCCTGGCCATGGGCGGCGGCGGCAGTGCCAGCTTTGACCGCGCTATTGAGATGGAACGTGGCAACTTTGGAGGAAGCTTCGCAGGTTCCTTTGGTGGCGCTGGAGGCCATGCTCCAGGGGTAGCCAGGAAGGCCTGCCAGATATTTGTGAGAAACGTAAGTGGATTCTGGAACCTGTCAGTGGTACGCGCAAAGGGAGGTGGGGAGACCGGAAGTCTGCAGGACTGTATGGTGGCAGGTCGAGGTCAGAGGTCATGTCCTCAGAAAGGGAGCTGAGTAGCATGCAAGGCTACCTTGTAACTCCCCGAAGTTTAGTTCTGGTCGGATGGGGGAATGAGAGAGCTTACAACACTGTGCAGCAGGATCGTGGGCTCTGTAAACCCACTGGGCTTCCCTGACTGCTAGATGGAACAGTGAGCTGAAGAACTAGTCTGTCTGTCTGTCTGTCTGTCTCTCTCTCTCTCTCTCTCTCTCTCTGGTTTTTAGAGAGAGAGGAGGGGGGAGAGGGGAAATCATGGAAACATCGAGTTGTTGTTCCACTAATTTATGCATCATTGGTTGGTTCTTGTATGTGCCCTGACCAGGGATTGAATCTGCAGCCTTGGTATATCAGTACAACGCTCTAACCAAGGAGCCACCCAGCCAGGGTTGAGAACTCTGTTTCTTGATCCCTTGGCTTGAAGAGCCACTAAACCTTAGCATGACAATGCAGAAGAAAAATGGCTCTCTCAGAATTATCTGTACCAAACTGACTGCCCTTGGCTACTATTCAGTGGTTCTGTGGCCTGAACCACAGGTGGCTGTGCATTCTGCTCTCTGTATGATGCTCCCATGGACAGAGAAAGCCACAAAGGAGTGAGCTTAGTGTGCTAGTTTAGAATCTCATTCCAGACCAACTTGTTTAGTTCTTTTGATCATCTCAGTTTGAAGGTCAGCCAGTTACAGGAAGTCCTTTAAGTCACCTTCAGAGTAAGTGATGATTGTGTGTTACGATTTGGTTGACTCGCTCACTAGTCTTTTCTTTTTTCCCCCCAGCTCCCATTTGATTTTACATGGAAGATGCTAAAGGACAAATTCAACGAATGTGGTAAGTGTTTGAGAAAGGCTTTCTAGGTGCTTCCATATATTGTGGCTTCAGAAATCTTAGCTTGTTGATAATGCATTAGAGTCATGCAGTGAACCTTCCATCCTAGTCCTAAGCCACTTTCCGTTACTCTAGAGGGCTGATGGGACTTGCCATTTTTCTGCCTATGCAAGTATTCAAGCAGGCTGTTGAGTTTCCTGTTATGTGTCAGACACTTTTCCCCTGTGTTTTCTTGTCATCCTTAACCCTTTTTCTCCTTTTCCAGTCTTTGAAAGGAGGTAGAGTTGTCCCTGTTTTACAGATGAGTCAGGCAAAGTCACATTCCCAAGGTCACATGGCTTCTAAGTAACAAATCTAAATAAAATGAATACATCTGAGACAATGAGACAAGGTGGCCTTCCACCACAGTGCCTACCTGGGTTGTGCCCCAAAGAGTACTCGCCCAGCAGGTCCCACGGTCTGGCTTTGCAGGCTCTGGGTACTCAGTAGCTGGTGTGTGTGTGAGGCTGAGGGTCTGTGATTGTGGTTTTCTGGCACACCAGGTAACCTTCTGAAAGGCTCACTTTGTGGCCGAAAGGCAGTTGTCTGGGGGTGAACCCCTGTCCCTCACCCCGACTCCTTCTCTTCTTTTAACCATGTCAGGTGGAGGCCCAGCCCTAAGCTGGAATGTAGGTGGCTTGCTGTGTGGAAGCTTCCTCAGTGTTCTCCCTTCCTATTTCAGTGGTGACTCAGATTTCACCACAGGTGCTTCTTGTCCTGGTTCTTCTCTCAGGCCAGCTATTGAGACATAGCTTGCCTTCTCGCCCTCTCTCCCTGCTCCTTAGTTTCCACATTGTAGTGGATACTCTGAAAAGTCAGAATGGATCATGCAACTCCCCATGGCCTCAGATGCCCGGAAGTGACCATTGGGCAAGAGAAAAGTCCACATTCACCAGCCTGTGTACAACTCTGTCCCTTCTTCTTTCATCTCCCTCCCTCCTGTCTCTGAAGCCTGAGTTGCAAGTGCTGTTCTCCAGAAATGCTCTCTTGAGAACTGTTATCAGTAAGTTTTCCTCTGAACTTAACTCTTACTTCAGAACTTTCCCATGAGAAGCCCTCCAGGATGTTGGTCCTTTCTCAGAGTTAACAGCTCTAGAGTTGTAGTCCTCTAGCACTGGCTACACTGTCATGTCTTTGCAGCCACTGAAGTAAAGGCCGGTGTTTCTGTGGCTCTTTTCCTGTGTACTTGTTTCCATGGTGCTTGACACATACCTGGATACTTAATCAGTGCCTGAATATGTGAAACTGCTTGCTTGTTATTACACAGCTTATAGTGGGGTAGGGCAGGAGTGCCCATCATACTGGTGATGGCCTTGTAAACGTGTTGGTGTGCTATATTGAAAGTGAAGCCTCTGTGAAATTTGCCTATAAAGTTGGATTCACACAGCTGCGGGCCCCCACCCCCTGCCCCGGTCAGTTCTTCAGAGTGTAAAATCCTGCATCTGTAGCTGCCAGGAAGGCTTATCACGGGGCTTCTCAGATTGTTGTCCTGCTGGCAGAAGAATGGCAGTTGGGTTGAGGGCTGTTGGAGCTGGGTCCCAGCCACTGTGTTCTGGGCGTTCGTGCCAGGCATGGGGGCTGCTCTGCCTGTTAACTCAGCCAAAATTCACAGGTGATGTGGGCTGAATGGAACCCAGACGGAGGCTGAGCTCTGGTTTGTCTGATGAGTTGTGGTCTCTTCTTCCCTCCCTGTGCCTAGGCCACGTGCTGTATGCTGACATCAAGATGGAGAATGGGAAGTCCAAGGGGTGCGGTGTGGTTAAGTTTGAGTCGCCAGAGGTGGCTGAGAGAGCCTGCCGGATGATGAATGGGATGAAGCTGAGTGGCCGAGAGATTGACGTTCGAATCGATAGAAATGCTTAAGCGGTTGCCTTTTTTAAACATCGAAACCAGACCTCTGAATTTGTATTTTTTCTTGTTAACCATTTTAATTTGTTGGCTGGATGTATAAAGATGTTTAAAAAATTCAGTTGCTTTTTGGGGTAATTTGAATTACTTTTTTAATGACTGGGGTTCCATTTGACTGTTTGCATTGAGATTGCAATGTGCGCAATTTTTTTTGTAGTTGTGGCATCTTGTTGACATCAAATATGACTTTGATAATAAATACCAGTTCCTGAAAGCTGCTTGCTTTTTTGTGTGTGTTGTGGGGCCACCACCTGAGGGTTGGGGGCAAGGAACCACTCATATCCTTTCTGCCCTCTGAGCTGCGAGCAGGTGCCTTATCCCTATTCATGCCTGGCTGTGTGCCCTGCTGCGTTAGGAACGAACTTGAAGGAATCTGAATCCTGAGTGGACTTGAATCCCATGTGCTGGTGATGGAGCACTAGACTGTTAGCTCTCTGAAAGCCGTCCCGTCTCTGTTCTGTGCAGTGTCTGTGAGGGTCCGTTTCCCTTTGGGCTTTTGTCTTAGTCTACTCTGGCTGCTATAACAAAAATACTGTAAGCTGGGTGGTTTATAAACTATAGAAACTGATTTCTTACAGCCTGGAAGCTGGGAAGGCCAAGGTCAAGATGGGCTGCTTTTATAAGGTCTTTAGAAGACCTAACTGACTGAAATTGGGCATTGGGAATTTGGGGGGTGTGGGAGAACAAATACTCCATCCATAGCAGCTTTTCTTTGGTAAAACCATGCAGAGTGTGAGTTTCTGAGCACGTTTAGTTCTGTAGGGGTTCGGGCTGAACTTGGTACCTGGGCTCTGTCAGAACTGGGTGCCCCCCTGCCCCTGACCGCCACCACCACTAAAATGTGACCTCATACGTAGGTCCACCTGGGGTAGGCAGTTGTTTGCAGCCAGTCACAGTGTTGGATGTGTCCTGCCTGTCTCCCTCTCCACCGTGGCTGGCAGCTGATGGGGATCTGATCACAGGGACTCAAACCCTGAAGTCTTGCAGGGTACTAGTTTTTCTTGCCGCCTCTTCCCTGCCACACTTCTTTCGTTCCTGGTCCTTATCCCTGAGGGCTGAGAACATGAAGGAGAGAGTTGACCCCAAAGACCCCCAAGTGATTGATCATGCTCTACTGTGTGCCAGTTGGGAGAGAAAGAAAAGCAGCAGTGACCACTTTAAAGGGGCTCTGTGGTTCACGTACATCGTCAGGCGTGAGCCTTGGCATTTCTTTTTATTTATTGGAGAGAGAAGAACATCGATTTTGTTGTTCCATTTATTTATGCATGCATTCGTGTTTCTTGGATGTGCCCTGACTGGGGGGTTGAACCTGCAACTTTGGTGTACCAGGACGATGCTCTAACCAGCTGAGCTACCCAGCCAAGGCAGCTTGGGGAGTTCTGTGGCCTTCGAGCTGGGATCCAGGATTCCTGGGTTGGTGGGTGGTTGGGCCGGTGAGTTGTCCTGGATCCACGCACCTGCCGAGCTTACCGTCCTCGAGGGAATGGCTGGCCTTCTAGAGGGTCTGCAGAGGAGGAAAGGCAACCTTCCAGTGGCTCTTCTCATAAGCAGATAGCAAGCAGCTCCCAGGGAAGTGGGGTTTTCTCCAACCTGCCCAGAACATCTACATACCCAGGAAGGCAACGTCATCGTACACCTCTGTTTCCCTGGTGGAGAGCACAGTTGGGTCAGCAAAAGTCACTCCTGGGCGGCCCATTAGCCCGCCCCGCACCCCCCAAGATCATAGCAGCACTCACAGGGGCAGCAGCGCTATTCTGGGCACGTAGCCGTCTGCAAAAAGAGCAGGGATAGGTGAGCTCTTGATCTGTCAGTGCAGGGCCTGCCTCCCCAGGGCTGCTGGCCCAGCTCACTCACACTTGCCCTTGGTGTCCCGGCAGAGCATCTCCTCCTCGTTGGTGAACTCGATCACCTCCAGGATCTCCCCGCGTCGGATGCCCAGGTGCTTGCCACCCCCACGGCGTGTCTTGGCATTGGGGTCGATCATCATCCTTGTCTGAATCACGATCTCCCCCTCAAACTGGGGAGAGACATGTTAGAGCTGTGGCTGTGCAGCCTCCCCCCACCCATCGCCGCGTCCCCGGGGCCTTGGTCAGTGGGACAGAGCCCAGCCCTCCCAGGGCTCTTGCTCAGCTTGGTGTCCGCACCTTGAACTTCTTCCGGAACTCCCTCTCAGCTTTCTCCGCCTTCCGCATCTGCTTCAGGACCTTAGGGTCCACAGGTAGCAACTCCTGTGGCTGGAGAGCCGTCTGCTTCCTGAGCCTCCCAAGGAGTTGGATACTTATGAGCAAGACATATTCCTTAGGGGTCCCCTTCCACTGCTGTCCCAGAGTTTACCCCCTCCCTGCTTTACCCTGTGGTACCTGAGCTCAGGGTCATGTGGTGGCCTCTTAGGGGGTTGCTGGATGGGTCGCACATCATCTGGGGGGCAGGCAGAGCACTGATGAGGGCAGGGGCCGTCAGCCTGGCCTATCTTGACCCTGGCGGCTTGATCTTAGGGAGCCTTCCGTCCGTTCTCTGGGCATCCCCGCATTCTGGCCACGTCCCCTCCCAACCCCGGGCCTACCTCTCCCCAGGCCCTTGTCCTGGATTGTGAGTTCTAGTGGGTGCCGTTTTTCCTAACTCCGGCCACAGGCTAGGCATGGCAGACGCTGTTCACCACTTTAAGTCATTTCCACCCTCACAGCTACCTTATTCATGACAGTAGGCAATCCTGTCATTCCTAACTTGCTCAGGAGGAAATAAAGGCTCAGAGGCAAAGGAGCCTGCCCAAGTTCACCCAGGTGGTAAGTCTGGAGAGGCAGGGTTTATGTGAGTGCTTCAGAGGCCGCTTCATGCCTAGTGCCTCGAGCAGGCTGGGTAATGAGATTTGGGTCAAAAATGAAGCAGAAGCATTTTCTGGAGGTAAATGAAGTCAGCCTGTGAGGAAGTGACTGATGGGGTGGGATTCTTGGACTGGCCAGGCTGGTGATGAGACTGGACTGGTGAGGCAGGCTTCCTGGCAAGTGACCAGCCTTCCAGGCAGGAGGCTGCTGGTCATGGGGTTGGCTTACGGTGAGAGCCTCATGAACAGGTGAGTAAAAGCCCCCAGCTTTTCACTGCCATCTCTGAATGACTCCAAGCATTTTGACATTTTGCGCCAGCTGTCCCTTCCATCAAATAGCCCAGTGAGGGGTATATGCCTGTTGCTCTCAGCCCTTCAGGCACTGAGGCTGCCTCCAGCCTCAGCCTGATGCTCAAATGATGGTGCCGTCCATGGTCTCACCCAGAATACTCCCTTCAGCTGCTGCTCCCTCTCCTAGAGGCTGCCCAGGCCAGGATGGTCACCCAGCTGGGAATGGTCTTCGTGTCGGCTCCAGGGTCCCTACATACGCATTGCAGCACGGAGCACACCGCTGGGCACTCTGGTGTGGGGTGTGCCTGGTGCACCTGTGACCCAAGCTTCCTGGCAATGCGACCCTGAGCAGGCTCCGGTGTGCGGCCTGCTTGGATCCTGGGAAAAACCTGGCCCTGGCCCCCTGCTGTGCGAGCACCCTCTGGAGTGGAGCAGCTCCTCTGAGTGAGACGGAGAGGGGGAGGGCAGACTTGAAAAGGACATGCCAACAGTGAGCCCGCACTGCCGCGAGAAGGGAAAGACCAGGGAATTGCTGTCTTTGATTGGAATCTTGAGGAATGACTTGAATGCAAGGGACAGGGAGCAGAGGTGGGGATGTGCCTGGTCTGGCTGGGCCTGGGGAAGGGGGAAGTGCAGGCCATGCCTGCAAGGCTGCTGGAAGTGGAGTGTCCACGTGTCCCCAGGGATTCCCAAGAGCAGAGCCGCAGAGCGCCGGCCACAGGAGGGCCCTGCCAGGAGACTCCGTGCCGACTGCTAAAGGAGGGCTGCTGCAAGCAGCCTCTGGGGAAAGCGCGGGAGCAGCAGCCACAGTGGCAGCCACAGCGGCAGCAGACCTGGGTGGGGGGTGCTAATGGGGAGGAAGAGAGAGTACCCTGAAGACACACCTGGTGGAAGGTTCTCCCACATGAGGCCTTTCCAAAGCCAGGGAAGTACGGAAGCAGCACCCGGGCCCCTGCATGCTGGCTCTGAGCTGGGGAAAGTCACTCCTGTGGTCCTCAAGCTTCCACATCTTTAGAGTGGGCATGACGTTGCTTTGGGTAGGGGGCTTTGTAGATTCGGTGACGTGTAAAGTGCTTGTATGGAAGCCATTTCTGTTTACACTCAAGTTTGGCGAAGTCATTAACCCTGCAGCTGGGCTGGAGGTACAGGCCCGCCAGGCCAGCACCCTGCTCTCCAGACAGGAGAAAGGAGAAGGGCCCTTTGGAACCCCAGAGCCTGAGCGGGGTAGGGGGGGTCAGGACCACACCCTGCGCCCTGCCCGTGTCTTTTGTGTTCCAGGCCCAAGTCCACAGGCACCTCCAACACAACAGATCTATGAGGGGACCTGGCACCTTCCTTGTCCCAAACGCAGGGATGGCCTCACTCAGTACCCAGGAGCAAGGTTCCAAACTTGGGCCTCACCCACGCCAAGCTCACTCGCTCCCTCTCACCTCTGCATAGTGCGCTGCCAAGTCCTCTTGCCGCCTTTTACCTCAGTCTTGCCCGGTGCTCATCCTGAGCCACACCTCTGCCCTGGCTGCATCGTGCTCCCTGGCTCTTGGGTTCCGTGCTGCCCTTCAGCACACTGTCCCGCCCACCAGGAACTGGTGTGACCCCACAGAAAGGCCCTTCCTCCCTGCTTCCCCTCCTCCCGTCAGGGAGCTGGGTTGGTGACTGGCCTTATGCCAACCGTGTGGCAGAAAATGCCCTTGCAACAGATGTGGCCCGGGTGCCCAGGCCGCCTGGGTCAGACCCCCCACCAACAAACCTTTGCTCTTGGAGCTGGGACTGGAGTCTGCCCCTTCCACGTCATCGCACAGCTCGTAGATCTCCTCTGGGTCCCTGCAGGGATACCTGAAATGAGGGCCTCACTCGGCCCGTGACCCGCGCCTGTGTCCCCTCACTCCCCACACTCACCCCTGGCTATCCTTAGGCTGTGGGGCCCGGACGTGGATTCCAGCACAAGAGCGGGCCCTCCTCAGGGCTGTGGAAAGACGAGAGCGGGAGGGAGGCAGGCACAGCCAGGGAGCCTCTGCAGCCTCCTCTCAGCCCGGGGCGCCCTGACCCACCTGTGGCTGCTGCTGAGGGTCTTGGGAAGCCCTGGACATCCTTGAGGCCTGGCGGCAGTGGGGGTTTGACTGGCGGGGGTCCCAGGCTGCTGACCGGAGGCAGAGGCCGCCGCCGGGGTGGGCGGCCGGGTTTCAGGCCCAGCTTGGATGCGCCGCTGTGAGGGAGAACTGACCTCTGCTGCCTGGCGCCAAACCCGGGGCTGAGTGGGAATCGGGGGCCGGAGGCCGCGACAGCCAAGGGCAGTGAACTCTCCGAAATGGAGCCAGGCAGTGGAGGCTTTCTAGAAGGATCTCCAAAGAACTCCGCCTGCAGGGATTTCTTGAGCAGAACATTGGGCTCGGGCTGCGAGAACTTGCGGGGGGTTCCCTGACCCGCAGGTTGCGGAAACTTCCTGGGAAGTAGGCGAACCTCGGGCTCTGAGGTGGTCCTGGGGAGGCTGTCCGCCTTGGCCTGCGGGGACCTAGAGAATGCTCTGAATTCGGACTGCCGTGGTCTCTTGGGAATCACACAGACCTCGGGCTCCGAGGATGTCCTGGTGAGGTCACCGAACTCAGGCTGCAGGGGCTTCTTGGGGAGGTCACTCAGCTGAGGCAGTGGGGTCTTTTTTGGAGAGGCACTGAGGTCAGACTGTGAAAAGCTCGGGTGCGGCTCACTGGGCTCGGGCTTCCTGGGGGGCACCTGAGGCTGCTGGGGCCTTCTGGGGAGCACGCTGAACTCAGGCTGTGGGGGCTGTGGGGCGGCCTCACTGAGCTCAGGCTGCCAGACCTTCCTAGGGGATGTACTGAATTTGGGTTCTGCGGAGGGCTTGGTGGGGTTGCTGGGGTCAGGCTGTGGGGGCTTCTGGGTAAGTGCACTAGGCTCCAGCTGCAAGGCATTCTGAGGAGCCTCGCTCACCTCAGGCTGCAGGGGGTTCCTGGGGAACGCAGGGGCCTCTGGCTGTGGGAACTTCTTGCAGGCTTCACTGGACTCAGATTTGGAGGGCTTTTTGGGAAAATCAGTGAACTTGGGCTGCGGGGGCTTCTTTGGGAGATGAGTGAACTCAGGCGGTGTGGGCTTCTTGGGGAGATGAGTGGACTCGGGCTGGGGGTGCTTCTTGGGGAGATCAGTGGGCTCGGGCTGGGGGGGCTTCTTGGGGAGATCAGTGGGCTCGGGCTGAGGGGGCTTCTTGGGGAGATGAGTGAACTCGGGCTGGGGGGGCTTTTTGGAGTTCTCACTGGGCTCAGGCTGAGGAAACTTCTTGAGGAGTTTCTTGAACTCAGGCTTCGGGGATAGTTCGCCGGTCCCAGGCTGAGAGGCCTGGAACTTCGCTTGAAGGCTCCGGAAGTCCTGATGGCTCCCCTAGGGGACACAGGTAGGCAGGAACTGACCCACACAGGAGTTGGAGAGAGACCGACGTGGAGACTCAGGGACACAGTCCCAGGCGCACACCACCCCCTCTTGTTCTTTCACCCCCAGGTCTCCAGTCCCTTCTGTTCTAATTGCAAAATACATCCGGAATCCAGCTACTTCTGCCTGCCAGAGGCACCTTCTTGTTGCCTCCTCCCTGGACTCGGGCCCAGCCTCTGTCTCTGTAACATTAGCACCTTCATCACAGCCAGCGGAGGCCCGTTTACCATAAATCTCCAACTTCTTACATTGTTTTTTAAATGTGTGAGGAGTGACTTGGCTCTTTCATCACTGTCCTCCCAGGCCCTGGCACACAGTAGGTGCTTAGTAAATATTTGTTGAAATAAAGAACAGAGGGCACACAGGCAGGCGTATCCTTGGCCACATCCAGCCTGACAGTCACAGACTCGCGTCAGATGGATGCAGAGACGCTCGGACCTAGAGGCAGACGGTGCAGGGTCTCTCAGGTCGCACAGTCCCAGATGCCTGTGCGGATGGCCAGGGACACCCACCCTCAACAAAGAACTGGTGGGCAGGCCCCAGAGCACAGTCTCCGTTGGGCTCTGTGCCGTCTGCGGCATGTGGCACGCGCAGTCGGTCCCTGGTACAGTGCCAGGCATCCCGCACCATTGCTCAGACATAGGCATGTGCACAAACGAGGCCAGGCCTGCTCTGATGACAAGTTGACCAGAGGTGGCCCTGCCACAGGCCCCGCAGCCCTGGCTTCACCTGGGGTCAAGGAGGTGGAGGGAGGGAGGGGGGACGGACGGAGGGAAGGGAATGTCAGAAAGAAACGCATGGTCTTCTTTCCCATCCAGAGATAGTGAAAAAAGATTGTAACTCTGCTTTCACACTTCTGTAAAAGGCACCCTACCTCCAGTGGGTTGGAGCAAGGGCTCCCAGGTGACCCACAGGGCCAGAAGGTGGTGCCTGGGGTGACTGGCTGGGGTGGGGACAGGCAACGGGTGCCTGACCCAGTTTGTTACAGGAAACCCCTGTGCTCACCCTGGCTGTTACCAGCTTGCTGTTCATGCTCACCTGCGGGGGAAGGGGGTTGGTGTGAGCAGCCCCACCAGTCCCCCTTAGAGTCTCAGGTTCAACCTGGGCCACAGGCCCCTTGGAGCTCAGCTGTCCCAGAGGAGTGACCTGGCCACTTCCCACCTCTGGGCCTTTGTGTGGGTCATTCCTGCTTCCCAGCTGGTTTTTCTCTGCCGCTCTACTCTTGGAATATGCCCCCCATTTCCACCCGTGGCACCCCTTGCTTCCAGCCAACAGGGGCTCCCCAAGGGCTTGGGGACTCACCATAGCGACAGGCAGGGGATGGGTCACGGTGAGAGTGGGACAGCTGGGGCTTCTGCTTTCAGGAAGTGACTGGCTTCTGCTCCACAAGCCCCAGGGTAGAGAGGGCAGAGAAGGAAGGAAAGGAGGCAGAGACAACCTGAGCTTGTCCCCAGATCCTGTCCAGCACTTCTTGAGTCGCTGGTCTGCCTGCTACTTGTGTCTGCTCTTCATGCACTGGAGGTCAGCACGATCACAACAGTCGCTGGTGTCTTGGCTCTCTGCTGTCCCCTCCCCCGCCGTCCCACCACCTGCCCTGTAAACCTCTGGGCTCCAGGGAGGGCCGGGTGCCAACCCCGGAGGACCTCCTGCCAGCAGAGGCAGGTGGAGGCCCCTGCAGCCTGGGCCTCCGCGGGAGGGGCCTGCTCACTGGAGAAGAGGCCCAGCGCCTGCTCCGGGCAGGAGGCCCGGCGTCCGAGTGCGGTGGGCGCGGCCCTGTTGCTCCTTATTAACTCATCTGCCTTCCTCCTTTCGACACTTCCTTGAGGTCCACTTCTCTGCTCTGAACAGGACCTCCCTATTGCAGGGGCAGATGTCACAAGGGGCTGTGGATGGCCCACTGGGATGGCCGATTTGGGGGCGGTAGGTAGATAGCCAAGGCCTTGGCCCAGAGAGGGAGTCTGAGGAGACCCCAGGTCCCCAGGGGACAGAAGGTGGGTAGAAAACTGAAACAGCTGGGAGGCCGGCAGAGGGGGGTGACGGTAGTGAGAGGGAGACAAGCGCAGTGAGGGTGGGAGGCCCCGCCAGAGGAGGTCCCCCGGCCCGCCCCCTGGGACCGTGCAGCGCCCGGCTTCTCGGCCGGCCGGGCGCTGGGATTGCTCAAGGAAGTTAGAGAAATGAGCTCCTGGAGAGTCTTCCTGAATTGGTCGGGGTGTGGCCACCGCTAGGCACTTGCTGGGAGATTGTGACGTGCAGCTGGCTAACTGAGCAGCTCCAGTGCCTGTCAAGTCACCCCCAGTCCCCGTTGCTCAGATGCAGGTTTGCCTCCGTCCAGTGACATTCTGCGACATCCCCGTGATGCCCTTGCTGCTGGTCCAGGGGCACACCTGGAGTAGCAAGGGCACAGAAAGACCCAGCTGGGGACAGGGAAGGAGGCTCTCCTTGCCTTGAGAACTCGCATTCCCAGCAGGGGCCCTCCTCTTGTGCCCGCCCCGCCATGAAGGCCACAGCAGCGGTCGGAAATGCCTGCCTGCTCGTACGTCTGTTTTAAGAGCACAGCCTGAAGACCCTGGAACCTCAGCCCGTGCATCCCTGTCCCTGCACACAGACATGCACCCTCAGCCACAATCCCAGATGTGGGTACCCCTCTGAACTGGGGTCCTGGGAGGCCAGGGATGGTAAGGCCTGGGTCCTCGCAGGGTCTCCAGGACCAGCCACCATGGGCTGGCTGTAAACCGACTGACCCTCCCAGGGTTTTGTGAGTGAGGGAAAGAATGAAGGAAAGAACAAGGGGTGACTGGCCGAGGGCAAAACGGTCAGCTACAGGACTGAAGGAGGGACCAGTGACTCCCCCGGCTCTGGGAAGGCCGCTGGGAGTGGGCACCGCCAGTGCGGAACTCCAGAGTTTGGAGGGCCCCTCCCTGGCTGAGCCCTTGCAGGGCGTGCTCCCCAGGGGGCACATGGCCCCCCACTCCTCTTTGGGTTTCGCCCCTTTCTGGAGGCTCAAAGCTATGGACAGGGACCTGGAGCTGTGGAACTGGAAGCCTGGGGAAATGAGCTGGGTCCAGGGTCTGCCTCGGGGAGCGGAGGGTGCTGGGAGGGGTTTGTCGGGGGGAACATGTGGAACTCTGTGGTCTAGGGAGGCGAGTGCACGTGGGGAGCTGAAGCTGGTGCTCCCTGTCCCTGCGTGAGAGCGAGGCGCAGTGCACTGGCTGTCCCAACGCAGGGGGTGGGTCGCGGCTGCTGGTGCAGCCACGTGTGGTCCGAGAGCAGGAGGACTGAGCCCGGGGTGGGAGTGCCAGGGCCCGGCTCAGGAGCCTTCGCTGCCCCTCTCCCAGTCCCGGCGAGGCAGCCGAGCAAGGCACTCGCCAGCAACGGAGCGGGCGCCGGCACTGCCTGGCAGCGGACGGGCACCTGGCAGGCCTCAGCATGAAACTGCAGTCGCTGGCCCCACCTGCCCATGTGGCAGCAGTTCCACAGGGCAGGTGCTGGCCTGGATTGCGGGGGGCCTCCTCCCCTCCCTCACACTGCCACGCCTGGGCATCCTGTGCTGGGCCCCAAGGGGACTCAGCTTGTAGGCACCCTGGAGTTGGGGTGGGGCAGGGGGACCTTCCGAGGGGTCACAGGTTGGCCAGAGGGAGGGCCGGGCTGCAGGAGCCCAGAAGGCACACGGGGAGCGGGAATGCTGAGCAGGCGTTCAGACAAGGGAGGGTAGGAGCTGGCGGCGGGGGGGGGGGGGGGGGTGGTTTCAGGAGCAGGCTGTGCACCGTGGCCAGGTGGTGGTGACCCAGCTCCCTAGGCCACGGCAGCTCCCACGGGCTCCACAGGGCGGCAGGAGCTGTGGACCTTTTGCCCTCAGGGGAAGGGTGGCTGTACCCATGTAGGTGACAGGGTGGGGGTGTGTCTGTACCAGGATACTGGCTCTGGGTCTCTCTGGAAAGGTCCCGACAGTCTGGGAAGCGGCCTCACCTGGATCTGCGGGGACTGAATGCGGAACTTGAAGGGGAAGAAAAACTGGGGGGGCCGGCAAGCCCCTGGTACCCTGGAGATGGACTGGGGACCTTGGGAAGCCAGACCTCTAAATCTTGTCCCCGATATGCAGGAAAGCCTGGGGCGAGAGCCAGGTCTCCCAGGGTGTCTAGGGGCCTTGGGAATGTGGGGAAAGGGGAGAATGCCTTTGGGGCCCCACTACCTGGGTTTTCTCATCGGCAGAAACCATGCCCAGCTTCCAGGGTGGTGTGGAATCAGCAAATGACTGGGAACTGGGTCTGGCTAGAGTCAGGGTTCAGTCAGTTTACCCTCCTGGCCTCACCTCTTCTACCTGTAAGATGGGCCCCTTGCCCTGGCTGCGGTGGTTCAGTGGATTGAGTGCCGGCCTGCGAACCAAAGGGTCACTCACTGGTTGGGTTCCCAGTCAGGGCACATGCCTGGGTTGCAGGCCAGGTCCCCAGTTGGGGGTGTGCGAGGCAACCGATCACTGTGTCTCGTACACATTAATGTTTCTCTCCCTCCCCCCTCTCTAGAAGTAAATAAAATCTTAAACGGCCCCTTGACCCTGCCCCACCTTCTCTCCAGGTACTTGAACGGGTCCAGGCCGCCATGGGGCTTGGTGGCTGGAGGGATGTGAAAACCCCTCCCTCTCCCCCCAGTCCCTCTCGGGACCCGCAGGACTCCGGGGCTGAGCCTCACGACGCCCCTTTTCAATGAAGAGGCAAGGTGAGACGCAGGCAGGCCAAGCCTCCTCCCCAGGCTGCGCAGCCAGCGTTCCGAGCCTAGCTGAGAAGCGGGGAGCGCGGGGGCCCCGGGGCCCTGTCCCTTGACGGCCCATCTAGCTCCACAGCTGGTGCTGAGTAGCAGCCACCTCAGCAGGAGCCTGCACGTGCTTGCTCACAGGACGTGTGTTCCCAAGGAGGAAGAGGAGGAGACGGGAGGGGGTGGTTTGTGGGGCCCAGGGAGAGGACAGGGAGGTTCAAGATGGGGCCTCGTCGGGCGACTGGACAGGATCTTCCTTTGGAATGCTGTGGGGAGCCACCGAAGGTTATAGGAAGGGGAGGGGCACAAGCAGAGGAGAGTCGTTTACAGGGGTGTTCAGACTGGGGGGGAAGGGCAGTTGTTGCTTCAGGTGCTCCAGGAAGGGCAGAGGGCGAGGCCTGGGCCGGCCCACCACGGGGCTGGAAGCCAGCAACACTCGGGGCTCCCATACCCGGCAGGCTTGGCCCGCAAAGCTCTGGTGACGGCAGGGCTCCGCGGCAGCCTGGCCCGAGTTTGAACCCTGGCCTGAGTCTGAACCCCTGGCCCAGGCCCGACTTCCCTCCAAGAAAGGGAAGAACGGGACCAGGAAGGGGGCGGGGGAGGGCAGGGACCCACCCTCCTCCTCAGAGCTGGGGAGGGGGGCGCACGGGGGCGGGGCGGAGCAGGGCAGCCCCTCCATCCCCTCGCCCGCCTCCCTCGTGGCTTTGGGCCCTGGTGCTGCAGCTGGGCCCCTGCACTTTCTCAGGATTCCTTGCCCGTCTTCCCCGCTGACTCTCCGTTTAAACAAACTTCCTGATAGGCAGTGGGCAGTGACAGTGCTGAGCTGGAGACTGGGTCCCAGTGTTGAGAAGACAGGGAAGGTGGGATACAGGTGGACAGGGACGGGAGGCCTGCCCTCTCCCAAGCTGGGGGGGCATCCAAGACTGCTAGATCGGCCACTGTGCATCAGAGGGCAAGGGACACAGCACAGGCCAGTTCATCGCGCCTCTTTTATTGTCTCCCCACCCCATCCATTTCAGGCCCCCCTAAAATTACAAAACTACCCACACCTCATGACCTCTATGACCTCATGACCTCTGTGCGGCAGGGTTCAGAGCGGCGAGAAAACTGGACACTCCCCTTCAGAGAGCAGCAACGACATCTTGGGTGCAAGTGGGGCCGGGTCTGGGTAGGGCAGAGGAGGAGGCGCCTGAGCCTCAGTCTGTCCCTGGCCTTGGGGACCCTCTTCCTCCCCATCCCAGCGCTCCCAGGCCTTACCCGCTGGGGCCTCGGGGCGCAGCTGCCTCAGGGCGCGGCTGCCGGGGCGCCGGGGCCGCGGGGGCGATGGGGCGGTGGTCCTCCAGGTGTAGGGTCATGGCGGGCCGCGAGGCCGTGGAGAAGGTGCACTGCATGCACGAATAGCGGCCACGCGTGTGCTCCCACAAGATGCGGCTTGGGGCCGCATGCCCTGCGGGCAGGTGGGCCCCTGTCAGTCCCGGCCCCAGCCCAGAGGGCCCGTCCACCCCGAGGACGGTGGTCATGGGCAAGAGCATTTCGGACCTTTCCCCACCTCCCCATCAGCTCGCGGTGTGGAGGGTCTGGCCTGGCTGATCTGTTTCCCCCAGGTGTGTTCCCCCTGGGATTGGGGGTATTCGACTTGACATCTGTGCCCCCCATTCTCATCCCCAGAACCCCTGCAGAGCGCGAGCTTTACACTGATGAAGGCGCGGGGATGGCAATTTTTAAGGAAAAAGTCCTGTATTTCAGGGCTGGCACTGCTACCTCCTAGTATTGGGTTGGCCAAAAAGTTCGTTTTCACCAATAACTTTATTGAGCAACGTATCCACCGCTTTGTTCCACTACCTTCTGCCAGCTTTCAGGCAACTTCATAATTCCATCTTCCCAAAACATTTTATCTTTTTGAACAAAGAACTGTTCCAGGAGCCTTTTGCAGTCTTCTGGGGAACTGACATTTTTTCCACTAAGAGAATTTTGTAAAAACTGAAATAAGTGGAAACCCGAAGTTGCAACGCAGTGGATGAATTAGAGCTTCCCAGCCAACCTGTAACAATTTGTGCTTAGTCATCAAAGAAACATGCGGACTTCTGGTATCCTGATGGAAAATTGTGTATTTTCTGTTAACTAATTCTGGACGCTTTTCATCCAGTGCTGCTTTCCCTTGGTCTAGTTGAGAGCAGTATTCACTGGAATTAATCATTTGGTTTTCTGGAAGGAGCTTACAATAGAGGACTCCCTTCCGATCCCATGATATATACAATATGACCATCTTTGGATGAAGACTGGCCTTTAGTGTGGTTAGTAATGGTTCATTTCGCTTGTCCCATGATCTCATCCATTCCACATTATTAAGTATCCACTTTTCACCACCCGTCACAGTTTGTTTTAAAAACGAAACCTTTTTGTTCCGTTTAAGTAGGGAATTTTGTGTGGAGATACGGTCAAGAAGATTTTTTTCACTTATGTGGAACCCAAATATTAAACTGACTTAACATAACCACGCTGGTGCAAGTGGTTTTCAACACTTGATTTGGATAGTTTGAGTATGTCGGCTATCTCCTGCGTGGTATGACGTTAACTGTTCTCAATTACTGTCTTGATTTGATCTCTATCAACTTCAGCTGGTCTACATGACCATGGAACATCATCCAGCAAGAAATCTCCAGCACGAAACTTCAGAAGCCATTTTTGACGTGTTCAATCTGTCACAGCACCTCCATACACTGCACAAATCTGTTTTTGTGTTTCAGTCGCGTTTTTACCTTTCTTGAAATAATAAAGCATATTATGCTGAAAATGTTGCTTATTTTCTTCTATCTTCAATGTTAAAATGGCTACACAAAAATTCACCAATTTTGATAAGTTTTTTTTAAAACGCACGCTGCTATGACAGCTGTCACAATACAATCTAACAGAATTGTTTTGAATGATGTTAAAGACAACTAAGTGCTACTAGAGCCATCTTATAGGAAAAAAAGAACGAGCTTTTTGGCCAACCCAATCTCCTGAGCCCAGCAGAGTGCAGGACAGAAACCCTCAACATCCCGCCCTGGTGGTCACCTGCACGCACCTGAGGGCGCATCGGAGCCGCCCTGGGGTCTGCGAGGACTGCCACCTGCACCTGCGGTGAATGGGTGGGGTCAAGGTCAGAAATAGGCAAGGGCAGGGCCCAGCCCACCCTCCTAACAACCACTACACTCACCTTGACTCTTCTTCCACACAGCGGCACTGGAGGCTGGCAGCCCAGGTGCGGCGGCCAGGAAGGGGCGCAGGCGTGGGGGACTTAGGTCAAAGGGTGAGGGATTCAAGTAGGGCAGGAAGGGCCCAGTAGCGGCAGGGGCGGGGGTTGTGAAGGGCTCAAGAAGCGGAAACTGCAGGCTGGGCGCCGGTGCAGGGTCGGACTCGGGGGGGCGTTCGGGCGCTGCTGGCTCCTTGTCCAGGGCTGGGGGTGGCGGTGGGGCTGGGCTCTGCCCTTGCTCGGCACAAACATGCAGATGCTTGAAGAGCGAGCGATGCGTACGGAAGCGCAGGAGGCAATTCTCACACCTGGGGCAGGCAGAGAGCTAGGCTGGATCTCCTGAGAGACCAGGGAGGGACCTGTCGGGTCTCGCTACCCGGGGACCCGCCCCGAGAACGTTGTAGGGGAGCCCAAGTCCAAATCAGATTCCCCCACCTGCGGGGTAGGAGCTTGCCCCAAGCGCCCCCTTACTGCGGTCAAGACCCTTCTTGACCCCTCTGCGTGGGAGCCCTGGGAAAACGAGGATGAGGTCTCAATTTTCACTTAGGTGATCCACTTTCCCTTTAGGAAGTGGTGAGACTGGGCGGAGCCATATCCACGTGAGCCCTGCCCCTTCCGGTCCAAGGGACTTGCAGTAGTACCCTCTCCAGAGATCAGGTAAGGGCCGGGCTTGCCCAAGGTGACACCCACTTCCAGACCCAACTCCCACCGCCGCCCCCTGACTACTAAATGGAAAGGCCTGGACCCGAGGTCCTGGCTACCAAACCAAGAGCAGGAGGAGCTGCCTGGGGCCTGGTGACCAAGGACCAAAGGAGGTTGGGTGGTCAGGGTCTCACTTGAAGTAGCGATTGGGTTTGTAGTGCAGCTTGCCGTGGGCCACCAGCTCCTGCATGCTGGGGAAAGTCTCCGTGCAGCTCAGGGCCGAACAGCGGAACAGCTTGCCTGGCAGGGCGGGGGTGGAGGACAGAGGAGTGGGGTGGGGCGGCCAACGGTCGGCCTGGGAACTCTGCCTGCCTTCCACCCTAACCTGCCTCCCATCACCTACCCTGGTCCTACCTTCCAGGGACTGTGTGGGTGGGCAGTGGGTACGCAGATGCTGTGCCAAGTCACGAATGCTGGGGAAACTGAGGCAGCAGCCAGGGCTAGAGCAGGGTATCTGCTTTCCTGTAGGATGTACACAGCGGGGTCACCCATCCTTCTAGCCTCCCGCCCCGCCCCTACGCTTGCCAGGGCTCTGCCCCAGGGAGGCACATGTCAGGCTAGAATTACCCTGTGGTTTCCTACTGGGGCCTTTACCATCTGCCTCCTCCATCAGACTGCGCTGCCAGGGGGCAGGGGCTGAGTTGGCCTGGCTCAGTAAGTGGTGATTCTCTCTAGATAAACCCCACCTATGCAGATACTCTGCACTCCTCACTCCAGGCCTGTGACCCCACAGAAGGCCCCATCACAGGTCACCTGGTGGTGGGCGTCGCCTTGGAGGCCGAAGGTCCTCACTGGTCCCGGAGACTGTGCTGGCTGAGCCAAGGCTGGGTCCAGGGCCAGGCTGGTCACTGTCTGGGGCTGAGGAGGTACCTTGCTGGGCCCCTTCAAGCCCTCCACGGTCCCACACTGAGGGTGTCGCTGTCTGTTTCGGACCTGACTCCTCCCCCATGGAGAAGGAGGTGGCTGCAGCAGCCACACCCGGGGACAACACTTCCTTGCCGGCCTCACTGGAGCTGGGCTCTGCAGTGACCAGCATGTCTGGGCTAGGCCCAGAGAGTTCCTCCTCCTGGTGGAAGAAAGAGGTGGGGAGAACCCCTCTCGGGCCTGCTGGGGCCAGCCAGGAAACCCTCCATCCCCAAGGCCGTTGTGTATTCCTGGAAGAGCGAATGCCCCCCGGAGACATTAGGCAGCCCCCACCCTAAGAAGTTACCATCAAGGGAGGGCAGGGGATGAGGATGGATTGAGCTCCTGCTTCTTGTCTGCAGCCCCTGGCAAGGAGCTTGCTGGGAAGTGTTCCAAACGCACAAGGGGACATCTGTCAGGAACTGCCTATTTCAAAGCAGCATCCTCTCCTCCCCCAACTTGGGAAGATGGGAAGCCCCCTACGCGGCAGGGGCGTCGCCTTAGAGAGAGGGGGAGGGACAAAGGCCATGAAGGCGGAGCTCTGGACAGGGTAGGGCTAGGAAAATGCCAGTGGGGACGGAAGTGCCCAAGTGGACTAAGTACATACATATACTCTCTCAGGGCTAGAACTGTGCAGGCGAACTTTGAAGGCGCTGGCGGCTCGGTTGCAATAGGTCGGGGCGGAGCCCGAGCCCTGTGGGCGTGGCCCAGTCGGAGCCCGGCCCGGAAGTAGGGGGAAGGGCGCTCGCCGAGTGACTACTGGCGGCGGGGCGAGTGCCCGGATGTGGGGGCGGGGTCAGCCGGAGGGTGTGTGCGCGACAGGACCGCTCCCCGCCAGTCCCCGCTGGCTCGCCGCTCCCGTGCCCCCGGCGCCGCGCTCACCATCCTCGGCCCGGCTAGGCCTTTTGTTCCCGCAGCTCCTGCAGCTCCAGCTGAGGCTGTGGTGACTCCCTGGGCGGCCGCGGGCTCGCGCTCACGTCAGCGCCATTTTCCGCCTCCAAGCTCTCGCGAGAGCGTGGGCGGTTCTGCGCACGGCGCTCCCCGAGGGGGCGGGGCCCGAGGTCTAGGGTCTTCTTGAATCGTACAACTGCTCCCAGGTGAACGTGCAATACGCGGGCCTTGGCCATTTTAAGAGTTTGTGCCCTGAGCCCAGGCTGGTGTGGCTCAGTGTGTTGGACGTCCTCCCGCGAACCGAAAGGTCACCTGTTTTTTTCCCCCAGGTCAGGGGACATGCGTGAGTAGGGGGCCAGGCTCCCCAGTAGGGGGCGTGCGGTGGCAACCGATCTTGCATATTGATGTTTCCCTCTTTTTTTCCCTCAAAGTAATAAAATCTAAAAAAAACAAAAAAAAAAATCCTTGCGCTGAGATCTGGGATTAAAATCTATCCTGGCCTGTGCATTCGCCTGCAAAATGGGCATCTTCGTCCCCTTCGGTTCCGTCACCAGCCCTGGAAAGGCGATTCTTCTTTATAGAAGAGGTGATGTTCACTGGGCAGCCTCTTTGGAAGGAAATTGGCAATGGTCATCAAAATTTTCAGCGCGCTTAGTTCTGAAATTGGGAGTGGGTCTTTTGTAATAGCTAAGGGTGGGAAGCAAGCTCTCAGGAGAGGTGTGTTTCCAGGAGGATGTTACTGGGTGTCCCAGTGTGGAATGAGTCACCTATCCAACCTGCTGTGTGCTAGGTTCTGCGAGCTCAAGAGATGAACAGTACCGACAAACATCCCTGCCCCCAAAGGCCACTTGCATTTTAAAATGGGGAAACAAGACAACAACAAATGCAGAAAATGGTTTTAGTTTTTATTAAGTGCTACAAAGGGGAAAAAAAAAACCAACCCAGAAGGACCTGATAGTGCTGGGTCAGGGAAACCTCTCTGTGAGGTGACTTCTGAGCTGTTGCCTGATAGGAAGGCATGAGCCAATGCACGATGAGGGGAGCAGAGCGCTCTGGAAAGAGTGGGTAGGTAGCTGGTGTGAATGTCCTGAGGTGGGAAGGGACAGGTTTGTCTTTTTCAAGGAACGGCGAGATCAGGATGCCAGAGCAGAGGCAGGGTGTGGAGGTCAGAAAGTGAAGATGGTGCAGGGAGGGTCTTGCAGGGCCTTGTGAACTATGGAGAGAGGACTGTGGTTTCATATTCTAGACACAGATGAATTTTCAGCAGAGGGAGGTACGCCATCTGATCCCTGGCAGTCCTTTGGAAAATGGGCTATTGGGGGACAATGAAGTGGATCTTTGATATCAGAGCTCTATAATACATTATTTAACCATTCAAGAGGTGTCTGTTGAGTTCTAGGCAAGGGTAGACTATGTGCAATGTACACTTACGTATACAGCTGTAATTCCACTTGTGTACATGTGATGTATGTATGGGCTTTTATATTCGGAGAGTACCATTAGAAGGAGACATTTAAAAATTGAGGAGGGGAAAAAGGACTTTTTATAACAGGGTACAGCCAGGGCCCCCCAAAGGGGGGATTTGTAATGGGGTCCAGAACTTGGGGTGTCCAAGAAAAATACAATATATCCTTCCACCCACCCCACAAGGTGGGCCGCCATGAAGGAGGGGAGACAAGGAGCAGGGCCATTGAGTTACTTGGCAGATCAATAACAGGCCAGCTTCATACCTGATGGAGCAGGGCCATTGGGAGTCATTTTGCACATCAATAACAGCTGGATAGCTTCATTCCTCATATGCAAAGATGGTCACTTCGCATATCAGCAAGGTTAACCAGGAGGGTTGGCATACTTTTAACCCAGGATGCAATGGGCAGGCAGCTCCCACAGTTACAGCGCTGTGCATGAGAGCTTGCAGGTGGTTCGCTCCACGCCGCGGGGGAACAATGCGAAGACCATGGGGGAAGGAAAGGGGAGAAAGGACTCTTCCTGCTGGGCCATGAGAAGGTGCCACATAGGATTGGATTAAGAACTGGAAATCACGGCGACACAGATGATGCTGCTGGGAACTGCGAGAGGCCTGCCTGTCCCGAGCTCCAGACTTTTCTTCTGAGGGATGATTTGCTGATATGTAATTCTTTACATGCTCCAGCAAGAAGAACCAGGTCTTTCCCGTCAACATTTTGAGGGAGGGAGAGGCAGATTTTTCAAACTTTTGTGCAATTTGAATTTTAAAGCTTTTGTTTATCTTTAATGCAGTTAAAAACTTCAAAAACAGATCATTTTGATGCCGGGTGGAGGGGCGTGTGTGCAGGGGAGATTGGTGCAATCTGGGGAAGGGTTGGGTGAGGACTCAGAAAGGACAGGGACCCAAAGAAGGGAAAGGCGGGGCTGGACTTAAGAAATTTTGTAAAAGAGTAAACAGGATGTGGGCTGTGTGGGTGGGGCCAAGCTGACAGGTTTACAGATGGTGTAACTTAGATGTGAGAAGCTATTAGAATATGTTAAACCCACTCCCTTCTTTATACTCCCTGTGCCACCCAATCCTCATCCATCCATCCCATCCAGAAGGTGCTACTTCCTACATGAGTGGTGCCTGCCATAGTGGAAGTGGGGCCAAAAGGCTGTACCCCAAAGTACTGGGAGTGGAAGCAGCCTGCAGGGTGAGTTTGGGGCAGAAAAGGGAGACGAAGCCCTGATTTCCTCTCAGCATCAGGAAATGCCCAGCTGATGAAGTCAATGGCTCGTGTGGGTTGTCCTTCACTTGGTCTGTCCTCACAGGTCAAGTCTCGCAGCAAGAGATGTGCACAATGGTGGTTGGAAAGAGGGAGATCAGAGATGGAAGGAACTAGAGACATTCAAACAACTGGCTAAATGCTTTTGTAGAACGGCTGGCTAGTAAAAGGGCTGTTGAGACCCAGTTGCAATCTTGGGCTTTTTTTTTTTTCCCCCCAGCCACACTCAGCTTCCCCAGGTAGGTGCAGAAGAATGTGTGGATCCTGCAAAAGGCTCATCTGGCCAGTCAGCCCCCGTCCCTTCTCTGGCTCAGTTCTGACCCCACCAGTCTCCCAGACTGGCTGCTCTTTGAGGAGCTGAGCACAGAGGAGGTGTCCATCTGGAGAGCCAGGATCCTTAGGCTCAGTCCACGGCAGGACTCCCAGCTGGTTCCAGCTACACATGCATGGAGTTCTCAAAGACTCAAAGACTCAGACTTCAGCATGGGTCTGAAGACAGCTGGGGAGCCCAGTAACCAGATTGCTTCCTTCACCTGTGACCATAAGTGCAGAAGGCCATGGCCTTGGAATGTCATACAAGTCCTGACCCCAGGTGAGTGAGGGCTAAGAAGGCACAGACATGGGATAGGGGGCCATATGGGATCTTCCTCCTTCTTCAGGGTCCATTCAGGCCCCAGATAGGTTTGGAGGCTGTAGATTCAGATCTGACAGGACCACCCGACCATTTTCTGTAGGAAAGCTGGGAAGCAGCTCTGGAAGCTGGTAAGTGGACAGACTGAAGATTTTTAAGGCTTGGCTCTGGGGAATTTGGGCAAATGACTCAACCCCTGAGCCTTCATTTTTTTTTTTTTTCCACCTGTAAATCAGTGCATTTACTGTTCCTATGTCACAGGGTTCTGAGAAGTCTGGCACTCAGTTCGTATTTATACCAAACAAACATTTATTGCCTCAGCAAAGAGAACAGGAGAGAGGTCACGCTTGTCAAGGCCTCCCCACTTTGCCCTGTGCTGAGAGGACACGACTCATTTCATAAAAAGCAGCTGGGAGGTAGGCTCTGCTATTAGCCCTGTGTGACACAGGAGGAAACAGGTGTGATATGGGAGGCCAGGGCCCAGGCGTGGCTGCACTGGTGACCCTTAGACCCATCAGGGCCTGGGGTGGGCTGGCGGCCGCAGGACTGGACCTGCTGGCTAATGCAGCAAGGGAAACGAGACCCCTGCCAGCAGGGTCTGTCTCCCTGGCCGGCAGAAGGACAGTGTCCTGGGCCGCCAGCTCAGATCTTCTCCACATAGTTTCCAGGGAAGAGGCCCTCCTGGCCATGCAGCCGGCCTTTCCACCAGCCCGAGGAATCTGGGAGAGAAGAGAGTATGAGGCCCTGCCCAGCCTGCCCCAGTGGAAACCTTCAGGCTGGCTAGCTCACTGTCTGCCTTACTCATGTCCACGGGCCTGGCATAAGGCGGAGGCTGAAAACAGAGTGACAGAGGAAGGAGGGAGGGGGACAGGGATGACCACACGGTCTTGTCACTGGCTCACACTCCATCATTTTCTGGACTTTGCGTTTACTGTTCCCTCATCATCTCCTCCCATAGGCTTCTCCCCTCAATCCCTATGGTGGACCCAGGAATGACCTCCGTGAGGCTTCCCCACCTACATGCAAAGGGTTCTGTAGGGTCCCAGTCCCCTTCTAACCAGGGGACTTAGGAAGGAAGGGGCCTGGGCCATCCAGACACGGGCCATTTCCTACTCACAAGGGGTCTCTGAGGTTCTACTGTTAGCCCTGTATTTGCCAGGTAACACAAATGGGGTACCAGGTGTGATGCACTGAGGCCAAGGCTCCCAGGTGGCCTCCACCCAAGGCCTCGAGCTTATGCTGCCACTGGCTTGGCAGAGGGTATCTCTGGCTGGGCCTGAAAGCTTGCTGGCAACCTCTGTTCTCCCACTGGATGGGCATGTGGTAATGGGGGCTGTCTGGTTGTCTCGGGGTTCTGACTTCCCCCACCTCTGTCCCAGCACACATACCTTCCATGAGGATCTCAATGACTTCATTCACGTTGAAGCTCAGCTCATCCACATCTTGGCCCACATACTGGTACAGTGCCCGGCACCGCGGGCCATGCACCCGAGGCTGGGGCTTGGGCCGGCCCACACCGGGCACAGGCCGCTGCCCGACGCTGCGCTTCCTCTGCATGCTGTGGGCACAGGGGTTGTTCCTTGTAGCCCTAGGGACTGCCCCACTGCCCGCTCGCCTCCTGGGGCTGCCCTCCCACCCCACCTACCCGGCCACTCCCTGATCAGGCACGTTGAGGAATTCTGTGTTGTGCTCCGAGGGGGGTCGCGCCCTGGGTCGTCGGCTGGCCCGCAGGGCTGAAGATGGAGGTCCTTGGGGAGGCCGATGAGAGCCCCCTCCAGATGTGATCTCCAGGGGCAGGGGGCCCCCTCTGGCAGAGGGGGGCACCCCATTGTGGTGCAGACCTGCGGTGGGAGCAAGAATGGAGACATTCATTAGGGTGCTGCTAGGAGTACTGGGGGAGGATTTGACTCCCAAGTTCCCAGTCTGAGGGAGGAAGCAGCCACACTCCATCCAGTATGGCGACTGGCTGGAGGGAGGGAACCAGGGCCAGGAGGGACCAGAGAAAGGCTCTGCAGGGGTAAGATTCCTCCCACCCCCTTCTATAGAAGGGCTTTTTTGGGTGAGTCTTGTGAATAGGAGCTCAAGTGCAGTGGGAATATGGGAGACAGGCAGAGTGAACAGCCCCATCAAAGGCCTGGAGGTAGGAACAAATTTGATAACTGGGCAACATAAGATGTAGCTTGCATGACAAGAGTGTAAGATGAGAGGAGAGGTCAGAGGCTATAGCGTGGGTCGGATTCTGAAGGGCTTTGAATACCAAACCCAGCTTAGCCTTTGCTCTGTGGGAGATGGGGAGCTGTGGAGGGCTCTGGACAGAGAAGAGAAGGGTCAACTCTGCTTGTTAGATCTGCTGACAGGAACTCTGGCTTAGGTCGTGGAGCCCACAAGAAGCAAGGGAAGACCCTTAGGGGGAGCGTCTCCTCACCCCGGGGGGGTCCGGAGGCTGCCCGGAAAGGGGCCTGAGCCGACCTTCGAGGTTTTCCTTGGGCCACTCCTTTCCGTGTAGGCTCTGGAAAGGAAAGGGGAAAGGATGTAGGGATTTCAGTGGTGGCCAGACCATACCAGGCTCTTGGCCCCTCCTCAAGTGCAGTCCATTTTGGCTTAGTCCCCCACCCCAGTCTCGCTAGCTCCGCCCAGTGACTGACCTCTCTCCTCCAGGACTCACCTCTCAGGGGCTCCCTGGGCCCACCCCCTCGTTTGACCGACTCAATGGCTGCCTCTTTTGGCCACGCCCCCTTTGTGTTTCTCGACCAGTCATTGGTCCCCTCTGAATCCCTCTAGACCCGCCCCTCCATGGCTCTCACCCACTCTTGGCCAGCCTCCCTGGCTCCACCCTTTAAGCATTGATTGGTCCCTCGCTGGCCCCGCCACTTTGGCTGCGCCCCCACACCGCTTCTGCACAGACTCACTGGAGCTTTTGGGCAGTCCGTCACCCACGCTGACAGTGAGGGCCCGGCCGCTAGCCTTGAGCACCGCCACGTCGCCGGAGCCACGCGAGAAAGTGACGCTGCGGGTGCCACCTCCGCCCCAGCCCTCCTTTTTCACCCGGAACTGTAGTCTGTGGAGAGAGGAGGGAGCTGAGTGGGCGCCGCCTCCCAAGCGGGAGTTCACCTCCCCACCCCATCCTTGCTCAGCCCGTGGGTTGGGAGGGGCGTGCTGTGCCTAGACTAGCTCGAGGAGGATGGTGGAGGGAGGGCCGTACGTGTCGCTGAAGGTGAGGGGCAGGGGTCTCCGCGCTGCCTCCTCGAAGCGCTTGCACAGGAGGCTGACGAACTCGGTCTTGAACATGCTTTCCAGGAAGCTGTCGGCCGTGTCTTCTTGGAGGATGAAGAAGTCGTCCTGCCGCGTGCTGGGGGAGGGGCAGAAGGAAAGGCAGGTGATAGTGACAGGTGAGGGCGACAGAAGGACTGACATATGAGATATAACCGGAGAGGGGCAAGTGAGGAGTTACACAGGTGGGGGAAAAGGGGAGAAGTGGCAAGGAGCGGGACAAGGTGGTAATAATAGAACAGGGCCAGGTGAGGGGACAGGTGCTGTTGGCAGATAAGGATCATGAGTGTGGGGGCAGGCGAAGGTGACAGGTAGGACCAAGAGAGAGTTATATGCATGACAACAGGTAAGATGGTCAGGGTAACAGATGAGGTAACATGTATGAGGACAGCTGATGATGACAAGGGGGCAGGTGAGAGTGACCGTGGGGCAGGCGAGCATCTGGCCTCACCTGAGGGAAACTCCCCTCAGGGCCTGGATCTCCAGCTTCTTCTTCAGGACCTCACGCACCTGGCCCTTCTCAGGTCCCTTCTTCACCTTCTCCCGCCCAATCACATATACACATCTGGGCGTCAGGATCAAGTCCCTCTTGATAGGCTGTGAGGATGCAGTACCAGAGAGGCTGATGGCAGGAGCCCTGGGCATGGGGATCAGCTTCAGGCTGGGGGTGGCCCTGGCAGGTCAGGTGGATGAGGGTGTCCCTTGTGAAGGTGTATGAGTGATTGTCTTCTATAGTAAATAGGAAGTTAATTAAGGGTAAATGGGCTAGAAGGGGATGTCTGGGTCAGTGAACAGGTACAGGATTGGTGAAATTATACCCGCTGGTCATGGGTGGCCACGCCAGGTGAGAGTACCTATGCACAGGTCTATCTGGGCTGGGTGAAGGTGTGTGCACTTAATGGATAGATGTGTTCGGGATAAGTGGGGGTGGCCCCATGGTTAAGGCTTCTGGGTGGACAGAGGTGTCTGGCTAGATGAAGAGGCATCTGATGGACAGGTGTGTTGAGGCTTCATAAGGGCATATTTGATGGACAGATGTATCTACGTTAGTTGAGCATATGCGTATGGGCAGGTGTGTCCCAGTCAGGTGAGGGCATACCTGTGATGGGACAGGTATACTGGGCTAGATGACTATATACCCGTGGACAGGTGTATCTGAGCCAGGTGAGGGTGTGCCTCTGGTGGGGGGTGCCAGGCTGGAGCCAGGGTTCTGGACACACCCACTCGCTGGTGCCTCACCTTGAAGCGGCGGTCGTACTTGGTGACTGAGTCCGCGAAGTCGACGCGCTCCCTCTTGCCTAAGAACTGACGCAGCTCTGGCCGCTCCTCCAGTCCCAGGTAGTCCCCGACAAAGTTCCGATTGATGCTATTTCGTCTCCGCTCCTTCTTGTTCAGCAGGATATTGGAAGCTGTGGGGACACAGGATAGGGGGCAGAGGTTGTGGCCTGGCTCTTCCAGGTCCATCTGTCTTCACCCTGAGCCTCCCGCCTGCAGCCTCTCACCTTCCTCTCGCATCTCTTCATACTTCCGGATTGCCACGTGGCGCCGCCAGGCCTTCTGGATGGTGCGGGCAAAGCCGTCAAACTTGCGCTCTCGCATCTCCTCGAGAAGGAAGAGCTAGGCGAGAGGGAGGCGTGGTGGGTCCCGGTGTCTCCCCAGGGCCCCAGTCTCCAGTTTCCCCTGAGCCTACCCCACCCACATGCTCTTGCTCGGGGGCATCTGCACACATGCCATCACGTTATGGTCGAAAAATTCTTCATCCAAATGACGTGACCCAGGATCCCCTCCCAATATGTGGCACAAGCCCCTGCATCAAACTATAAACAGCTCGTCTGGTCGGGTTCCGGTTCCAGCCCTGCCTTTCACCACAGCGGTGTGGTCTTGCAGGAGAAACAGCACACGGCCACCGTTTCCAACACCGCCAGCTACGCTGGGCCGCGCCTTTCATGTGAGGTGCACCTCAACCTCAGAGCTGTTAGAGCATGGGAATCAACATGCGTTTTAGGAAAATGAAACACTGTAAGTGCGAGCACGTGATGTATAGAGCTTTGATGGGCCTGGTGGCCCTGTGGGTGTGTAGTGAACAACCTGCACGGCCGTCCGTGGCGGTCTGGGAAAGGAAGCTTTTGCACAAGGCAGGCTTTTGAGTTTTGAGGGTCTTGGACCAGAGTGGGCTTGGGGAATAAATTATATTTGACCAAGTCAGAGTGGAAATGCCATGAAAGATGTCTGTTATTTGGAATAATCAAAGGAATAATATCAAGGAGAGGAAGCCACCAGATATGAAAAGCTATAAATCTACAGTAATAAAAACAACGGGGTCCTGGTCAAGGACTAGAACAATCAAATGGAATAGGACAGACGGTTTGCAAACATCCTAATTCAAATATACATTTAGTGATGAGAAGGACAGCATTGTCAGTGAAGATGGGAAATACGAAAATAAAATTGAACTTTATTTAGGAACATAATTAACCTTTCACTCAGAGGGATTTCTTAAACACACAAGCATCCATCGCTTGGTTCACATGCACTTTAAACTACCTTGGAGGATTTTTAAAGCTGTGGGCATTTATAACTGTTCATAAGAGGTGGGGAGTCTTCTCACCAGGAAAAAACCCCAACAGTGCAGTTTCATATGTTGCAGGGAATCGAGTGGTTTACATATGTATTCTTTTGTTTCTCTAATATTCTATGGTTGGTGGGTCTGTGTGCAAAGTGTGTCCAAGTAATGCCTCACATGGGCTGTCTGGAGGGCACGTAAGTGCATCCTATGGTTTGCTGAAGGGGGAGGTATGAATAAGGGGAGACCAGCCTTCAGAACTGGGAGTGACTCAGTCAACTAGGAACCTTTTCCCCTTAGCCTTTCAGGGAAGACAGGACAACTGTCACAAACCCCATGGTTTCTGCCCAGTAAAGAGGATTTGTTTTCAGTTTGGGAAATAGGCCTTCCTGTCTACAGAGTTCAAAATGCATCTCCATGCAGTTCAAGATGGCAACGGTACGTGTTGCCTAAGGGCGCTGAGGCAGGGCCCAAATCAGAGCTTATCCTGGTGGATTGGGTTCGCGTCCACCCAGAACCTGTGAATGTGCCCTCCTCTGGAAAGAGGGTCTTTGCAGATGTAATCATGTTAAAGTGAGATCATTCTGGAGCAGGGTGGGCCCGAAATCCAATACGACTGGTTTCCTTATAAGAAGAGGGAAATTTGGGCCCAGACACACAGAGAAGAGAAGGCCATGTGAAAACAGGCAGAGATTGCAGTGATGGGTCCTAATGCAATGAATACTAACCTAGGAGTGCCAAGGACCCCTGCCAACCACCAAAGGCAGGGAAAGACAAGGGAGAGTCCTTCCCCAGAGTCCTCAGAGGAAGCATGGCCCTGTGACACCTTGATTTTGGATTTCTAGTCTCCAGAAGTGTGAGAAAATAAGTTTCTGTTGGGGTAAGCCATCCAGTCTGTGCAACCTGGTTACAGTAGCCACAGGAAATGACTACAGCTGGGATGATGGGCAGTGAAGGCCAATGGGTGTATAACACGTCCAGGGATGTATTTTGTGTTCATATTTATAAGAAACGAGCCGATTCAGAATCGTCTCAACATAAGTGCATTTGTGGTTGAGAGAGGCTCCAACTCCATTAGGTTCATTTACTTCCTTGACCAGTTTTTGATATAGCACCGTAAAGCTATTTTCATTTTACTGAGAATTTTCTCATCAGGATCACTTGTATTTCCTGTACATATTTTTCAGTCTTTCTTTTCTGTTATAAATATTTCTGAGCAAATTTTTACCTTTGTGAATTTCATTATTTAAATTGTAGTCTCGAAATATGCAGACTGCAATTTTTGTCAAAATTTGCCCTTCTATAGTTTTAGCCAGTGCTAGCTTTATTTTGTCTGTTTTCCCCAGTGTCAATAGTATCTCTTCCTTTCAGAGTCAGATTTTATAGTCTGCAAGTAACCAACGAGATGGATACTCTTTTCTCCTGTGGATCCTTCTATTTTTTTCCCCCTCCTTCTTTCTATTTTTTTTTTCTTTAAAGATTTTCTTCCTTTCTTTTTTAGAGAGAGGGGAAGGGAGGAAGAGAGGGAGAGAAACATCAATGTGAGAGAGAAATATCAATTGGTTGCCTCTCATACACACCCTGACTGGGGACTGAACCTGCAACCCAGGCATGTGCCCCAACTGGGAATTGAACCGGTGATCCTTCGCTTTGTGGGATGATGCCCAACTGGCTCCATTTTTGCTTATCTTACAAAACGAGTGGTTTCAGGCGTGGTTTTAGCCATGGACAATTTTGGTTTGTGGTAAGTTTCTATTAGTAACAATATCTACTTTGAATGTAATTCCAGACTTTTTGTTTTTTTGGAGCAGAGTGCATCCATAGGGAAAAGTTTTAGGAGGTAGATGCAGAAAAATGTCGGGACAAAGATTTCCAACCTCCCCCCCTGGCTGGTGTGCCTCTGTGGGTTGGGTGTTGTCCTGCAAATCAAAAGGCCATGGGTTCAACTCCCAGTCAGGGCACATGCTGGGCTTTGGGCCGGGTCCCTCAATGGGGGCGTGAGAGAGGCAGCCAGTCAATGCTTCTCTCACACATCGATGTTTCTCTCCCTCTCTTTCTCTCTCCCTTCTCCTCTCTCTAAAAATAAATTTAAAAAAATGATTTCCAACCTCCCAAGACAGACTATTTTTGCAGTTGTGAAATCTTAAGAGTGTCTACCCCTCTGTGCCGTTTTTGGTTTGGGAGAGAATGGTTCCTTGTAAGTACACTAATGTCAAGGGAGTCATGGCAACAACCTCCTGGTTGTCTTCCTCCATTCCCCAAGGTACCAGCAGAGCGAGTGCCATGATCATGCAGGTGCTGAGGCACCGGCTGGCCCCGCCATGGCCCTTCCCCAGCACACCTTTCCCTGCTCTTCCAGCCTGTGCCGCGCTGGGGGAGCAGGATCCACCTGAGAGTCTAGAGAATTAAACCTGTGGAGGTGGTCACCTCCCTATTTGCTTTTCAGCCCCAAGTAGAAGCAGGGGCCCAAGCAAGCCCTTAGGTGATTCTGAGCCCTGGTTTTTGTTAGATGTCATTGTTTTTTTTTAAAAAAACTTTCCTCTGCTAGGGGGAGGGGGATGTAAGGGGACTAAATGGTAATGAAAAAAAAAATACAATAAAGATGGAATTAAAAAAAACCTTCCTTCAGCTTTACTGAGGCATAATTGGTACATAATCCTGTGGAAATTTAAAGTGTACATGAGTTGATTTGATACATATATATGTATTGCAAAACAATGGCCACCACAGGTCAGCTAACACTCCCAAGTTGTTACTGTTTCTTCTGTGTGGTGAGAACATTGAAGATCTACTCTCTTAGCAACTGTCTGTCGCATATATGATAGAGCATTGTTCACTATCGCCACTGGGGCCCACAAGAGGTCCCCAGGACATGGTGCTCATCATGGCTGTGTTTGTTTTTCCCTGAAATCAGAGGCAGCAGAAAGTGGGTGGCGTGCCAGCCTCTTGCTAAAAGGTCCCTGGAGGGGTTGTTCCCACAGCCAGGCTTGTCTTTGATGAAGCAGAGCCCGAGGCTGGCCTTGCGCAGTAAAATGGCTGCTTTGACACAGCTCAGGCCCAGCGACACAACGTGTTCGTGGATGAAGGAGTGAAGAAAGACAAGAGGAAAGGGAACAAGACAGGGGAAAGGAGAGAAAGGAGGAGCTGAAGAAGGAAGGAAAGAAAGAAAGAAAGGAAACAAGGGACAGAAGGACATTCTGGGTAAGCCGCGGGTCCTTATTCTTTCCAAGGGGCCTGTCACCACAGGCGGCCACGTGCATCTCCCCCTGCTGCCCGGCCACCAAAGACTGCCCAGCTAACGCAGGATTTTCTGCTCGCCTGCGACGTGCCGGACACGGAGCAGTGGACTTCCTGCTCTGTCTAGCCCTAACCCCAGGCCTGCATGGCGGCCGTCACCCTCCCTGCTTTCCAAATGGAGAAACAGACTCGGAAGGGTGAGGAGACATGTCCGAGGTCCCGCAGTGGCCTGGAGAGCAGGACTCGAGCCCATGCAAGTGACCCGGAGTCTTGTCCGCCTGCCTGTCTCACACACACACTTACTGACTCGGGGTTCTTGACGAAGACCTTGGTGCTCCCCATCTGGTACTGGTCCTGATCCATGTTGACTGCCCGCAGCAGGTGCTGGACCCCCTGACGCTCGTCCCCGCGCCAGTGTGGCCACGTCTCAGGGGTCAGAATGGCGTACCTGGTGGCAGGCAGTGTAGGAGGGTTTGAGCAGACGGCTCAGCTGGCCAGCGCTCCACAGGTGGCAGCAGGGCCAGGGGCGGCAGGGAGCCTCACCTCTGCAGAAACTTGGCGAACTGGCGGCGGTAGGCGAAGCCTGCCCGGCGTACCCGGATGTTCTCCTTCAGGCCCAGGTACTCCACCTGGTGCTTGACCCTGGAGGGAAGGCAGCCTGAGTCCCATGCTGGGGGCCTCATCAGTCCTAGGAGCGGGAGGGGGTCTGCTGGAGGCAGCCTGGGGCCTGGGGTCTGGGGCAGGGGGTTCAGCAAGTTGGTTCTGTGAGGTGGGGACCTGGGGTTCGGGAAGGGTCCATGTTGATCCCGGGGCCCGTCCCAGACTGCAGGACCGGCCACTGTGCTAGTCCCTCGGCCATGAGGCCCTGAGGGGCTTTGCATTGGTCCTAGGGGGTCAGCCTGCGGTGTCACGTGACCCCAGAGGGTTCTGGAGGGAGGGTGAGTCAGGGGACAGGCAGTGTGGATTGGTCAAGCCGCTGCCAGGCCAGGCTGGGGATCACCTGCTCTCCTCCCAGTCACGGGGCCTCTTGGTCTCGTTGGGTTTGATGCAGCGGATGTAGTGGGGTGTACACTTCTTCAGTGTGGCCACCAGGTCATTGGCTTGTTTCTGAGGAGGGGAGAAGGCAGGGGGTTGGTGAACAGATGGGACCCTCTGGCCCATTCCCCCTCCTACCCCGGATACAGACCCAAGAGATGGAGCCGCACTGTGGGTGGTGAGGGGGCTGGGGGGCGGGCAAACGTCCGTGTATGGAGTAACTGCGGCCTCGGGAAAACACGTCCCCTGGAACATTCCTGCCTTCCCTTTGAGGATCAGTACTTTGGAAGTAGAGAATCTCGTGTGTGTGTGCGCCTGAGAGGCCAGCCTTGGTTTGTGCGTTTTAGTCCCTAGAGGAGCTGGATTCATAGAGACCGAAAGTAGATGGTGGGTGGCAGGGGCTGGGGGAGCGGGCAGTGGCTGGGCCGGGGGGGGGGGGCGGTTAGTGTTTATCAGGGACAGAGTTTCAGTTTAACAAGATGAAAAGAGTTCTGGGGCTAGACGGTGGGGTGGTGGTACAGCAGCGGGGATGTACTTAATGCCACTGAGCAGTACACTGGCCAAGGTGGTCAGTTTTATGTTATGTATATTTTATCACAATTTTAAAAAAGTAGCATGTGACCAAAGATAAAAAAAATATTAAGATGATGATTCACTACTGGATTTAGGGAATTAGGGGGTCATCAAGGAAGCTGGTCCCAGCCTCCTAACTCCAGAGCCGGAGGAAGCCCCTGCTGGACAGAGGGCGCCAGAGAGCGCAGAGGGCCCGGAGCGGGGAGACGCCGACCCGGGGCCTCCGCTGCCCAGCTCCTCCTCGGCCGCCCTGAGGCTCACCTTGATCTTGGAGCCGGCCGTGCTGGGGCGGCCCTTCTTGTCCACGTCCAGCTTCTCGGGGAACAGCATCCGGAGGAAGGCTCTGGCAAGGGGAGAGAGGGGGCTGGAGGTGCAGCTGGCCCTGGGGCGCCCTCTCCCAGAAGCGGGGCTGTCTAGGTGCCCGAGGCCCAGCGGGCACTCTGGAAAGTGTAGTTCTTTCTGAATGGGGAGGGTGAGAAGTTGAGGATTGGAGGGCTGGCTTCATCCTCTTGGGTCTTTGGCTATTGGCTCTGTTACTTCTTCCATGACCACCCCTGACTTGGGGAGCAAGTGAAGCAGGACAGAATTAAACGAAGCAGAAAAATGTTTCCTGAGCGGTAGCAGTGTGGGCAGCAGGGGCAGGTCCCCTCGCAGGGACGGCCCCCCACAGGCTTGCAGGGAGCGCATGGACGCTTGCCACTGTCGCCCCGTGTCTGATGGCCAGACACGGACACAGCCTGCTTGCCCATCAACAGGGGATCAGCTGAATACACGCTGGTCCAGCGTGGCTCCCTCTCCTGGCACCTCAGGGAGACCTTCCCTGACCACAGAGTGAGGGGGCTGCTCCGCAGATGCAGAGTGTCCATTCGGGGGGGTGAGGAGGTTGTGGAACTAGACAATGCGATGGCTGCACAACACCTAATGCTACTGAACTGCACGCTTTAAAATGGTGAAGCAATAAATTTTGTGTGTGTTTTATCACAATTAAAAGAGTAAAGTAAAAAAAGAATAGTGCCCTCTCTCCCCTCTTTCCCTTGATCGCCCTAGTTTTTCTTTGCGGCCCTTGGGCGGCCCCAGGCTTGGCGGGAGGGTGACTGAACGCAGGCTGCCCCGCCCCGCCCCTCGGGCTCTCACTCACAGCTGGGCTGGCGCCCAGCAACCTCTCCCGCACTCCCCGGGAAGGCCGATGCTGCCGGTCCAGGGGCCCCACTTAGAGAACCACAGCTTTGTGCCTTCCAATATGGTGGTTATCGAGAACCCTGATTTTTTAAAAAGATATAATTTATTTACTTTTTAGAGAGGGAGGCATACTGGGGGAGAGGGAGCAAGAGAGAGATCGATGTGAGAGAGGAACACCGATTGGTTGCCTGTCGCATGTGTCCTGACCAGGGACCGAACCCACAACCCGGGCATGTGCCCTGACCAGGAATCAAACCGGCGACCTTTCGCTTTGTAGGGTAACACCCAAGCAACTGAGCCACGCCGGTCAGGGCATTCCTGAGGCGTGTCTCCGTTGAGATATACTGTTAAGTGTTAAAATACACTCTAGATGTTGAAGAATGTACAGCGTGGAAAAAGTGTAAGATGGTTCATGAATAACTTTAAAATACTGATTGCATGTTGAGGTGATTATATTTTGTGTACAGTGAGTTAAAGAAAACATTGAAAAATTTTACTTGTTTGCCTTTTTACTTTTTAAGTGTGCTTACTGGACAATTTAGAATGACTCAGGCAGTGGGGATGGGGATTGACTGCGATTTGTCACAACGCATTCTTTTGGGGGTGATGCAAACGATGGCTGTCCAAGTTTGTGGTAAAAATCACTTCTTAAATTGGGTGCGTTTCATGGTATGCCAATTATACCTAAATAAGGCTTTAAAAAACAATCACATGGCCCTGGCCGGGTGGCTCAGTTGGTTGGAGCATTGTCCCATACACCGAAAGGCTGCAGGTTTGATTCCTGGTTGGGGCATATACCAAGGTCGCAGGTTTGATCCCTGGTCATGTGCATACAAGAAGCAGCTGATTCATGTTTCTCTCTCTCCTCCTCCCTTCCCCTCTCTCTAAAAATCAATATACATATCCTTGGGTGAGGATTAAAAAAATGACGTATGTAGCTCAAATTCTGTTGGATGTGGGAAGTATTGGGCAGCACTGTCTGGAACAGCGATTTTCAACAGGTGCGCCGCAATAATTTTTAACACATGCGGGACGTTACTACTTCATCATGGGCACTGACCTCTTTTCCCCTAGATTGTCAAATAAGAAAATGACAATAGCCAATACACTAGCCAACTGGTGTGAATGAATAAAAATTATAGCCATTTTTTTGGTCATATTAGCAAAAGTTTCTGTGCCACATAATTTTAGTAATGAGTTTATGTGTGCCACGAGACAAAAAAGGCTGAAAATCACTGCTCTAGACCAATGAATGTCAAACTCTGACTGGCGCATGGGGCCCGGGGTGCGGGGCGGGGTGAGAGTCTTGTTAAAATCCTGATTTTGATTGCGTCTGCCCGGGGTGGGGCTGGGGGCCGCCTCTGGAACCGACTCGGAGACGCCCGCGCGGATGGTCCGGGACCCCTGAGCCCCTTCGGGGCCGCGGCCTGGGCTCGCTCCCGTCTGCCTTGCGCTGAGTTCGCCGTCTGCCCCCTGAGCAGCTGGGCTCTCGGGCTCGTTGTGCCATCTGGCCCCACAAGTGCACATGGCACCCCGCCCAGAGCAGATCTTGCACAAAATTTTGAGGTTTAAAAAGCCAAAAGATGGCACCTGGCACGGGCTGTGGGCAGGGAGGTAGAGCCATGCGTGTGAGTGCAGGCAAGTGCAGGGAGCCGTGTGTCCTCGCTGTGTGGCGAGGGGAGCTGTCTGCACTGAAGGCTTGGGTTTGTAGGCGGGGCACTGGACGTGTGACCTTTGAATCAGAACCAGTCACTAGAAATACCGTCCTGGGCACACAGCCGCCCCGACAAAGTCCGTGCCTGGGGGCTCTGGGGAAGAGGGGGTGGCCCCCGGGGGCGGGTTCTGCCTGGATGCCCCCACGCCCAGGACCACTCACTGCTCACTGGTCTGCATCAGCTCTATGAGGTCGGTGAAGAGAACGTCTCGGTTCCTCTCACAAAAGCCGCTGACATCGTAGGAGACCTGCAGGGCAGTGGCGGGGACGGGTAGTGAGAGGCTGTGGCCAGGGTGGGCAGGGGGCTTAGAGCCCAGGCGGGCGGGGAGCCTGTTCCAGAGTAAGAAAACAGGGGTAGTATCTATGGTTCCGAAGAGGGGCCGGGGCAGCAGCAAGGGCCTGGAGTCCCCAGGGGTCCGATGCTCAAGGTGAAACTGGAGGGTGGGAGCTGCAGTCTGGGGCAGAGAGGAGGGGAGCTGGTGTTCTGTCCGGGCAGCGGGGACCAGAGGCAGGGGCAGGGGACGGCTATAGCCCAGATTTGGGGGGTGGGCAGCAGCCTGGGCGGGAGGTCCCTGGGGTAGGGGTCCTGCTACTTAATTTGGAGTTAAAAGGTCAGAGCATGTGTGTTGTGCCCAGCTGAGGGACTGGGAGGCTGTGTCAGGGGAAAGTTATGGCAGTGGCTGGAGATCGTGGAGGACTTCGGCCAGGCTGGTGGGCTGGGCCTGCCAGCCAAGGTGGGGGCTCTCTGCAGTGCTAGCTGTGGGCACCCCCTGGCTCCGGGCGCACAGGAGCTCCAGCCCACTTTGGGGACTGGCCGGCTGCAGCGAGCCCGAGGACCCTGGGGCTGTCTGCCGCCCATGCCGAAGCCAGCGGGAGAGCCTGCAGTCCGGTCAGCTGGAGAGGGGCCCACGGCCAGGGTGGGAGGCCAGCGATTTTTGTAGTTTTGGGGAGGGGTCTGCAGGGGACTCCAGCCCATTTTGGAGGGTGGTGGCTTGCAGCGTGGGCCTGGGGTCTCCAGGTTGGGGTCTGCAGGTGGTGGGCTGTGTCCTGGATCAGAAGGTTAGCGGGGCTTACAGCTCAAATTGGGGTTTGGGGTCTGCTGTCCAGTTTGGGGTCATTTGAAGGGAGTTTCTGCCCTGTGAGAGGACGCTGTCCTGTTAGCAGGGGGAGCCTGGCCTTGATCGGGGGCCAATGGGTTTCTGCAGCCCTGGCTGAAGGTGCTGCGGAGGGCCAGGGCAGCATCGGGGGGTCAGTGAGCGGGGGCCCGTGTTCCTGGTCCGCTGGGGTAGGATAGGAGAAGGGGGTGGGTAGAGTTCTGCAGTCCTGGCTGGGGGTCCCTGGGGACCCCATTGTTGAGAGGTTGGGAGGCTGCAGCCTGGAGACCCTGGGGTCTGCAAGGAGCTGCTGGGGACGCCTTGGGGCGGGGGTAGGCGGGCGCGTCGCACCTTGCCTGCGTAGTGGTGGATGACGAAGCCAGCGCTCCAGCTGTTGAAGTGCTCGTGGGTGCCCACAGCCGCCTGCAGCTTCTGCAGCAGCGTCTGGTCTGCGCCCCCGCCTGTGGCGTGCATGGTGGCGCACACGTCGTCCAGGACACTCATGATGCCTGGGGGGCTCTGTGGTCATGGGAGGCGGCAGTCGCTCAGCCTGGCCCGTGCCCATCCGAATCCCATCGCGGGGAACTTCACTAGAACAGGGGCGGGGTGGTGGCTTCCAAATATGAGAGCAAAATGGGGGGTGGGGCCTGAATGTGTGTGCGGGGCCTGCTGTGGGAGCTCCCTGAGCGAGGCGAGGGACCCCATACCATGCCTGCTCTCCCTTCTCAGACTGGGTTGTCTGGGAGGGGGGGACCTCTCCCTGAGCAGGCTGCTTGGGGGTGGTGTTTGTTGAGTGACTAAGTGAAGGGTAAGCAGGTGGGCAGAGTGAATGGGGGAGGTGGCTGATGGGATGTGTCAGCTCTAGTCCTGGACAGAGAGGGGCCTATGGGGACCATTACCCACCCTTGGCTCTCCCAAGCCTCCCAGGCTCAGCTCTGGGGCTCACTGAGCCCCACTAAAGATGGCCTGGCCCTTACCACTTTGTTTTCAATAAGGTCGCAGACAATTTTGTTGTTGAAGTACTGGATGGGGGTCCAGCGGATGCCCTCCTGGACATACTCCTCCTGGGGGCGGTGAAAGGGAAAGGGGGGGTGGATGTCTGGGCAAAGGCGTGTGCATTTCTAGGGGAGCTGGTGCAGCGGACGCAGCGACACGGACCTTTGTGAGGCCCTGACTGGCAGGACCGGCCCCCTAGAGGTTGAGCCCTGTGACCTGACTGAGAAGGTCCGAGCTACAGCCCATGACAAGGAGGGCATCCCGCCTGCCCAGCAGCATCCGAATTTTGTGGACAAACAGCTGGAGGATGGCCGCGCTCTGTCAGGGGACAACACCCACACAGAGCCCACCCTGCACTGGGTGCTTCGTCTGCGGGACGGCGCCGTCCGGCCCCTCTTCCCCGACGCGCCCAGGAGCACAGCTGCCACAGGCCATGTGCAAGTACTGCCCCCACCGCACCCTGTGCTGCCAGCGGCTGCGAGAAGTGCAGCCACACCCACAGCCTGCGCCCCAAGAAGAGGGTCAAATAAGACCCCTCTGTCACTGCCTCAGCTCACAGGGCGCCTTCTGCCTGAACCCTGGCCCTGGGGTCCCAATAAAGTCTCCCTTTTGTTGAAAAAAAGAAAATGGAGCCATGCTCCCCCTAAACTCCCTCCACAGTCTCATCAGTTAGGACCGTGTCCTGTAGCAAAGCCTTGCCCGCGTGGGGCAGGCTGCAGGTGCCCGCCCGCCCGCCAGCAGCCCTCCACCGCTCCCTCGCCCCTGGGGCGCCCACCCTGAGGCTGCTCTGCAAGTTGCCTGGGCCCAGCAGGACTGAGCCCTGGAGGCCCGAGGGCAACCTGCTCATCCCCGCACCCCACTGGGGCTTTCAAAAATCCCTCTTGCCACCTCTCTCCCCTCCTGGCCTTCGCCCTGCAGCCTTGTCTGAGGCTCTGCTTCTGCGGATGGGCAGAATGAAACCATCAGGGCTTTCTGTCCGTCCTGTTCATGGTGGCCTCCCTGGCACTGTACACAGTGCCTGGCACACAGTAGGTGCTCAATAAGGAATTGTCGAAGAAACGGACAAAGAGATTATTCCCCAGCCCTTGTCAAAGCTTTAAAGGTGGAAAACATCTTCCAGTGGAAATCTCACGGGGGGAGCCTGGGTGGGTCAGGACAGAGAGATGGAAGTAGGGGCTGGGGTGTCTCCTGGTTGCTTAGCAACCAGTGTGGTCCTGCCCCCAACCCAATGTCCTGTGTCCCTGGCCACATGGCTGCCCGAGCCCACCTGCTCAGCCTTCAGGGTGAGTTCGATAAAGATCTGCTGGAGCTTCTCATTGACAAAGTTGATGCAGAATTGCTCAAAGCCGTTTTTCTGCGGGGAGAGGGCGAGTGCTCGTCAGCGGGCTCCTGGGGCCTCTGTGGCAGGGCACGCGCCTGCGAGCGGAGGCCACACCTGGAAGATCTCGAAGCCGTAGATGTCCAGCACGCCGATGCTGTACTCTTCCTGCGGCTTCTGCATGGCACGGTTGATGGCCTGTGATGCGGGCAGGGACAGGAGGTCAGCGCCAGCCTGTTGGGCTCGTAGGTGCTCTGCAGGCTCTGTCCCCTCACACTGGCTGGGTGCCTACCCCCACCAGGTACTCGTGTGAGGAACCCAGGCGTTGGAGCACCGGGTTCCTGCCTTGGGAGCTGGCTCTGCCCCTCACCACCCCTGCCCCATCTATTTTCTCATCTTTAAAATGAGTGAATGATAGCAAGTATTTTATAGGGCTTTTTCTAAGAATTAAGTAAGCTGACGCATGTCAAACAGTCACCACAGTAAAGGACATGCACTAGGTGTCAGGCAGTGTTAGCTGACGCTCCGTCCTCATCCGTTTCCTTGACATGTCCCGGCCACCACCTGGCCCGCCAGACAGCTCTCCTCTTGGCTGTCATGCGCACCCACCCTCTCTGTCACCATAGCCCCTGTCCCGTGGAGTCCAAGCCTGCGCTCCACGCCACAGCCAGAGGGAGCCCCCTGTCTGCCACATGACCGCCCTGCGCCTGCTCGGTGCGCGCCACTTCGCTGCGGTGGTGAGGCTGTGACTGTGACGGCCCCGCCCCCGGCTGCTCCCAGGGCGCGCCTCCGCCAACCCCTGCCCCGCTGCACTGGCCTCCACGAGAAAGTCGAAGAGGCGGGCGTAGAGCCCCTTGGCCAGGGCGTCACGAGTGTAAGTCGCCTGCTCCACATTCAGGGTCACGTTGATGGACTCGCTGCGCCCGCCCCAGCGGCTGTCCATCTTGCGGCTGGTCAGCTTCTCCTGCAGCCGCCCGCTGTCGATGCCCAGCAGGTAGGCGGGAAAGGCCAGGACTGCGGGGCAGGTAAGGGGGCATCCGTTGGGCTCTTGTCTCTTCTGGCACCCGGTCTCTCTCTATTTTGCCCAGTGACACTGAAATTGCCCTGGTGGGTCCTCACCCTCTGGCAGCTGAATTAGGAGGAAGTGTCTGCACACGCGCCTGCTTCCCGCCCTCCCCAGCGCGCGTACTCACGGTCCACACTCTCCACCCGGGCGTAGTTCCCCTCTTCACAGAAGCTGATGTTCCCCAAGTGCAGGATCCCAGCCACGAGCTGCAGGACCAGCTGCTGGGCGCTGGGTGGGATCCCGATGACCTGCATGGCGCTCTGTGGGCAGGGCAGACAGGGCCTGTGCCACCATCCCGACCGCCTCCCCCAAGCCCCTGGGGTCAGGCCGGGGCTCTGAAGTCCCGACCTCTTTCCCAACCTCACTGTGTGACCTTGGGCAAGTCCCTGCTTTGCCTCTGGGACGCAGTTCCTGATTTGTAATGCGCGAGGTTGCCAGGGTTGCAGTGGCAGGTGGTGCTCACCAGAGTCTCGCTGAAGTCGCTCCTGTCGTCAGTGCCGTCCACCTTGTAGGTGTCTGACTGGTTGAGGTAGTAATAATAGTCGGGGGTCATGAGCCCCAGGTTCTGCCGCTGCTCCTGGGAGGCTCCTTCCAGCAGCTGGAGGGGGAGCAACGCTTGGGCCCTGGACTGGCTCAGGCTCTGGGGTCCCCCAGTCCCCACAGACCCTCCCCCTGCCACCCCCAGGCTCCAGGTGGGGCTCCCCGTTCCTTGCACCTGGTAGTAGATGTGGAAGTTCCTCTCATTTTCATTCTGCATGACCACGCGGGATTTCTCCAGCAGGAAGTTGGAGATCTTGCCCCCGTCAGGCTCCCCGCCACGGCTGAACTGGATCTCAAAATACTTGCCCTGAATGTGAGAGAACCACGTCAGCCCCTGCTGGGGCCCTGGGGTACAGGGGTGGGGGAAGGGGGTGGGATGGGCCTTGTGAACCCGGCCTCTTTCCTCCTCTTGTCCGTGTGACCTGACCCCACGTGACTCCAGCTTGCTTTCCCTCCCCACCCCATCTTACGCCCTGCGTGCGTTTCCCACCAGCTCCTCGCCAGCCTTTGCCTAAGCTGGCCTCCTGGGCCGGGGGGCCCTTTCCTCTTGCTTTGATGACTCAAGCCCTCATTTGGGGCACCCTCCCTGTGCCTGGCACAGAGAAGTATCTCATTTTTTTTTTAAAGATTTTTAAATTTATTTCCTTTTAGAGAGAGGAAGGGAGAAATATCAATGTGAGAAAGAAACATCGATTGGTTGCCTCTCACGTATTTCCCAACTGGAGACCAAACCTGCAACCTGGGCGTGTGCCCTAACTGGGGATTGAACTTGCAAACTTTTGCTTTACGGAATGACACCCACTGAGACACACCGGTCAGGGCAGTATCCCATTTTATTGACCAGGTCCCCGGTCCCTCTACTACAACACAGAGGCCTCCATGTCTCTGTGGGATACTGCTGGTTCCAGTGATGCTGAGTGTCACCCACATGTTGTCCCTGAGCCCAGAGCAAGGCCCCCACAGGCCTTCTTTTTGCCTCTGACACCATCTGGGTTCTTCTCTGGCCAGAGGCTGGAGGACAGGCAAGCCACATTACGGCTCCTTCCTGCCACCTCCATCCGAGAGCAACACAAAGTACATCATCGTACTATGCAAACACCTACAGGGTATGACATATACTTATTCTACTGTACAATAAGACCATATAAAGTAAAACATAATTATACATTTTGAGATTCATCCATGTTTTTGGGTGATCAGTAATTTGAAAACACATACTGTGTGACTTCACTTATGTGAATGAAGTTCTAGGACAGCCGAAACTAACCTATAGTGAAAAAAGTTCAGAGGACTGGTTGCTTCGGGAGCAGGGTGGGAGCAGAAATTGACTTGAAAAGGATGGGGAGGGGGGACTCCCTGGAGCCATGGTGACATTCTGTGTATTGACGGGGGCTTGGGTTGCACAGTGTACGCGGTTTTCACTGAATGGTTGGTCCACTTTAGAGATATGTATCTTGCTATATGCAAATTTTACTTTAAAAGAAATGAAAGAACTGCACATTTATATTGGACTATAATTAATGATCTGCATGCTGAAGTGTTGTAGGGGAAAGGTACGGTGTCAGCTGCTTGCTTTGTAGCGTGTCCAAAATTAATAAATAAATAAATAAAACCAACCAACAAGATGGATGGAGATACAATAAAACAAGTATAGTAAAATGCTAACGATAGAATCTGGGAGAGGAGCATACAGGTGTTCACTTTATTTTTCTGCCTCCTTTTCTTTGTATTTGAAATTTTAATAATAAAACATTGGGGAAAGTACTTAAAATATGATTATATCATAAACATTAGGAAATAAAAATATAACTAATAACGTCTTGGGAAATAAAATTCTTATTAGCTTATGGGATTTACTAAGTCACTCCCACGTGCGGGCATCGTACTGAGCGTGTCGAGGTCTATGAGGTGGATTTTAATACCATCCCACGGTACAGAGGCGAGACCAGGAGCCGCAGGAGGTTATGCTGTGCTTCGTCCAAGCCACTGTGTAAACAGCGACAGGCCCAGGCCTACGCCCGGATCTGGTTACCTAGTCTGTCTCCGTTAGACTCAGCCTAGCGCCCAGCAAAAAGGAGGAGCCCAGCAACCATTCCTCGAGGGAAGGGAGGAAAGAGGGACTACGGAGGACTGGAACGTGACTAGGGCAGATGCGCCATGGTTGCAGCCAGGCGAGTGCTTAAGAAGGTGACATAGACATGTCACGTCTGCGACGGGGACTCTATTTAATTGGACAATGAACAGAAAGTGAGGGTCCTGTCCAGGAGCAGGTATGTCCTGTGATCTGGGGCACGCAGGTAGCGGCGGGTGGCGTGTGCGTGTGCGTGCGTGCGTGTGCATGTGCGTGCGCGTAGGGCGTGGTCATGCCTAAAGCAGGGCTGCAGACTCACAAAACGACTGGAATTGTTGTTGCGCACGGTCTTGGCGTTGCCGAAGGCCTCGAGCAGCGGGTTTGATTGCAGGATGATGTCCTTCACGTGCTGGGGGCGGTGGGGTGGGGGCGGGGAGAGGTCAGGCTGAGGCAGGTGCGGAGGGAGAAAGTACCGCGAAGTGGGGGGAAACGCGGCCCTTCTTCCCGCGTTTGCCTCACCTGGACCTTCTCGCCCCCGCCAGACACTTTGGAGATGTAGCCCATGATGTATTTGGCTGCCACTGTCTTCCCAGCTCCACTTTCTCCACTGGGGACAGGGAGGCAAGGAGGGATCAGTGGCCAGGGGTGGGGGAAGTAGGTGGGGGAAGTGCCCTTTTTAGTCCCTGATCATTCGTTCCTCCCTTCCTTCAGTTCCTGCTGCGAGCGAGGGGCTAGTCCGGGCACTGGGGGTGCAAGAGTGAACAAGGCAGATTCAAGTCCCTGCCCTGCTGGAGCTGACAGAGAGGACGGGTGGGCAATAACAGAATGAAGAAATAAAATACAGCATGGGTCAGAGGGTGACAAGGAAGGGAAAGCAGGGCCGGGACAGAGAGGGACTGCAGGCCGCTGTTTGGATCAGGGCTCCAAGTCAGTCTCCCTGGGGCGGTGGGGCTGTTCGGGCGGGGCTGGGGCGCAGGGTCTGGGGCCCGGTCCTACCTGATGATGACGCACTGGTTCTCACAGTCGATGAGCATGTTCCGGTACATGTTGTCAGTGAGGGCATAGATGTGCGGGGGATTCTCGTACTGGGCCTGCCGGGGAGGGCAGGTCTCAGCCTGGGGCCAGGGGCCAGGGGTCCTGGGGACTGTGCCTCCCGCCCAGCCCCATGCTCACCGCGCCCTGGTAGAGGTCGATCTCACGGTCTGTGAAGTAGGGCATCTGCTTGAAGGGATTTACAGAGATGAGCACGGAGCCAATGTAGGTCTGTGGGCTGGTTAAGGGCCATGCAGTGTCCTGGCGCGCTCGGCCCCTCATGGGTCCCGTCCCCTCACCCTGCCCCCCACCCCGGGGTCTCCTGGAGTCCCACTGCTCATAGAGAAAGATGGAGATAGTCAGATGTGTCCTGGGTCTCGTAGGCAAAAACAGAGCTGGGTCCAGAACGGGAAATGGGGTATGTGCTGTGGCTGAGCGGCCCCAGGGGAGAGGAAGGGGGGCGGCCACACCCCATCAGAGTCCTGCCATCACTCCGCCTGTCCCCCGTGCTACCACCCAACGCTCTCACCGCCCTAGCCCCTCCATTCCTTTGCCCAGGCGTCGGAATGGCCCTTTGGTGCTGAAGTCCCTCTGCCGCGCTCCCCTGCACTCATCCGCCCACCGCGCCTGCGTCCCGCGGCCTTCATTTGCCTGCCCTGCCCATGGCCCAGGGTACAAAGATGTAGTCATCCATGAAGCGCTTTCGGAGGTTGCCCACAATGGCGTCCTCGGTGATCTGAGGCAGCAGCACCATGTCGTCCACGCCGCTCTGCTTCACGTTGTGGCTCTGCCAGTGGAAGCGCTCCTTGCTGCCCTGGGGGTGGAGCAGGGTGGCGGGTGTGAGCCCCAGGAAGGGGCGCTTGGGAAGGGGGCTGGTGCCTCAGCATCCCTGCCTGGCTCACCTCCACCCCCAGCTCTGACTGTGCCTCACCTCCTTTTCCACAGCGGCAGAGAGGGATGGCCAAGGCCCAGTCCGGGCTGCCTGACCCCAGGGGGAGGCTCGAGGGCATGGCGGCGCCCCCTGCCCCCTTCCCTTCCCGCCCCCAGCCCCTTCTTCCTGCTCCGGCCCAGGCCCACTCCTTGACTTTTCTCGGGCATGTGACCTGCTGCCTGTCCACCCAGAGATCACCGCCTTCCTCCCACTCCGGCCTCCTCTCGTGGGCAGGCCTGCCAGCTGGGACCTCTGAGATCCTCTCCGAGCCAAGTACTCAGCTGTGACCTCTGCTCCCTGGGCTGCACGGCGACCCTTCTCAGCTCCCACAGCTGGCCCGCTGCCCCTGCTGGGCCTTCTCCGTCCAACAGTTGACACCTTCCTTAGGGCCCAAGGAGGAGCCTCAGACACAGGCTCCTCCCCAAAATTCCTCCTCCAGGAAGCCTTCCTGGAATATTCTGCTTTTAGCCCAACTGAACTCATCCAGAGCCTTGAACACTTAAACGCACTGGCTCTCGCAGCCCTCTCTGCCTCTGTTCAGAACACCCTGCCGTGGAGAAGCCTGTGAGGCAGAAGGGCGGCATCGGCCGCTCATGCTCAGTGGACATGTCCCCCTGCAGGGAGCCCCTCCCCCCAGACCAGGAGCCCCTAGAGGGACTGAGTCCTTTCTCGGCCCCAGTAAAGAGGACCTATTGAATGAACAAGGGGACAGGGTGAAGAAAGAAACCCAACTTCAGCGGAAGGCCCCCAAGGGCAAGGGATGCTGAGAACCAATGTCAAGTCTTCAAAGATGACCAGCATTTGCTGGACCGATTCCAGGGAATGGAAGCAGGCGTGCTGGGCAGGGGACATCCTGGCAGGCGACAAACAGGAGGGCCAGTGTGGGCAGCTGCAGGGCAGAGGGGTTGAGGGGCCAGCCTCTCCTGTGGCACCGGGGGGCCACAGAAAGTTCCTGAGCAGGAGAGGTGCATGGTCTGCATGCGGACACACTGATGGCCAGAGGCGGGTTGTCAAGGATTGCCCACAGACGCTACGCACATGCAGCTTCCGGTGTGGGCAGGTCTAGGCTGCAGTCCCGGCTGCGCGGCCTAACACCCCACCTATAATGTGGGAGAAACGGCTCACTTCCCAGGGCTGATGGGAGGGGGAGTTGCTCTGGGGAGCAAAGTGGGGCAGGCAGCGGGTGCTCTTCCAAGTGACTGTGAGGGTGGAGGAGGCAGAGGAGCACGCGACAGAAGTAACATTCGCTAGGCACCTAGGGTGTGCCTGACACTGAACGGGGGTGTCATGATGTTAGCAGCGATCTTTGTAGCAACACAGTGCGGTGTAGACAGGGAGGGAACCGAGGCTTGCGAAGAGAGTGGCTTGGCACTTGACTCAAGACACAGCTAAATTGTTTCCAAGGGTATGGGGTTTGAGTCTGGGTCCATCTTGCGTCCATGCTCACAAGTGGCTGGGACCCACTTTGGGCTGGGACTGAAAGGCGAGAGGGGCTTTGATGCTGAGCAGGAAGAGTGCACCACAGAATGAACCACCCCTGCGATGTTGCAGAAGTGCGACTGAGGCAGGGATGGGCCTCGGGGCTGGGCTGTGGGGGTCAGGGCTCGAACTCCCCGAACATGTCCCGGCCTGGGCAGGCAAGTGGGTCCCTCGTCCGTGGGTCTGAGCCCCTCCCCTGGGGCTTGCAGCTGCTCGGAGTTCCTCCAGCCTGCAGCTCTGCCATGCCCCGTTCCCCCACCCTGCAGGGCATTCATGAGCACCTCCCACATGCCAGTAATTTAGGTCTTTGGAAAGAACTCTTTTTTTTAAAAAAAATTGTCTTTTCTCTTCACCCAAGGATTGCTTTTAGAGAGAGAGAAAAACATCGATTGGTTGTTACCTGTCACACACACCCAGACCAGGGATCGAACTCATGACCTTTCAGTTACAGGACAACACTCCCACCAACTGTGCCATATCAGCTAGGACTTTGGGAAGAACCCTTTCAGTTCTTTGCTAAACGGCCTCTAGGCCTTGGCAGATGCTGAGCCCTCTGCTCACAACACTCTTCCTGCCTGGTGAATGGCCATCTGCCCTTTAAGTCTTGACTCAGGGGCGCCTCCTCCAAGAAGACCTCCGTGAACCCAAGCCAGTCAGGTGCGCCCTGTGGACCTCCACAGCCCACTGGGCTTCCCTCCCCATTGCCCCGTCCATGCTTTGGACACTCCCCACATTAGCCTCATCTTCTGGTGTGCAAGCTCCTGAGGGGAGAGGCTCCTACCCTGCCTGGCTCAACAGGTGCCAGGGCGCACGTGAGTGAATGCGTGGCGGGGCGGTGGGGCATGAATGAATGGAGGAGGCATCCAGAGTGAGGTCCTGAAGAGCCTTTCGGGCCAAGCAAGGGAGCTTGCTCCTGATCGTCTGTGGCTTGGAGAGCTCTCAGCAGGGCCAGGTTGCCTCTGGGGACACTTGAGGAATGGCGGGAGCACTTTTCATTGTCACAGGGATGGAGACATGCCTGGCATTTTAAGGGAGCCGCAGGTGCCAGGTTTATGTTCAGATCATCATCCTGTCTGCAGCTCCTCACCCACCCGGCAGGCGGGCCTGTAGGTGACACACCTGTTTATAATCAGCCCTTGGACCCTAGAACCAAATTCAATTTTATCTATAAACAGAAAATCTTTTGCTTAGATTTTGTTTTGTCCTGATGAATTTTTTTTTTTCCCCGGAACTTGTTCAGCGTCTACTAAGACTTGTTCGGCATTCGGAAGCTCCCGCTGCCCGCAGCGGGGCGGCGGGGTGTGGAGACGCCTGTGGCCGGCGCGAGCTCCGGTGGCTCCGTGGGCCGTGCCGGTCCGCAGGCCTGGGCTGCTCGTCTCCGTACACGGCTCGGGGACGTGACATTCTCCAGCGCGCTCCTGGGGTCGCAGCAATGACTCTGAAACAATGGCGCTCAGTGTGTCTCCCTGTGAATTTCAGATCGGGGCTGGGGTGGCCTGGACGGGGTGGCCTGCGGGCGACAAGCGCTGGTCGGGAGGACGGCACCCCAAGCTCCTGAAGAGCATCCTTGCTCCCTGGAGACCAAGAGGGACCCTATGGAGAGCGTCGGCGACCTCAGGGTCATCAGTCAGGTGGGGAGGTCGGAATGGGTAGAGGGTGCTTTGGGGCAGCCTGGCTGAGAAGGGGAAGGGGCCACGGGGAGAGGCGGGGTCAGGGGGCACATTTCCTGTTTACAAGGTGGGCAGACCAGAGTGTGTTGGTCCTGGTGGGGCAGGAGTGGCAGTAGGCGGGGAAGCAGGTAGGTGGGGACTACTGGGGGGACAGGAAGTGGATTCTCTCGCTGAAGACCTCAAGAGGGGGCCTTGGGCGGTAACTGTGGTAACCGACAACAACGACAGCAATGAAAGTTAACACAGAGTGGGGCACTTACTCTGCGCCACACTCTGGTTAAGGTTTTTCCCTGAATTACTTCATTTAATTCTCTCAATATATATTGAGGTCAGTACTATGATTAGGCTCACTTTGCAGAAGAGAAAACTATGGCCCAGAGAGGTCAGCTGCCCCCTTTCAGGTCACACAGCAGGAAGGGAGGACCTGGGTGAGGACCAGCAAGGCCTTCATCCCCCAGCCTGGTCTGGGCCGGGGGTGGCAGGGCGGGGCCTTTGCGGGAGATGAGGACGGGGCAGGGCAAGGCTGGTCCAGCCCAGCGTTTCTCCTTCGGGGCAGCCTGGTTGCCAGGCCCCTGGACTCCCCGGCCAGAGCTGACCCTCGAGGCCACTTCCTTTCTCGGAGGTCAGAGTCCGCAGGGCTGGCTGTGTCTGGTTGCCTCCTGGCTCTGAGGACTTGGTTCCTCTTCCTGTCCCTCCCCACTTCCCCCACTGGGTTGAGTGGCCCTGGGCCCCTCAGCCCCTGCCGTGTCTCCCTGTGTCCTGCCCAGGCACCGGGACCCCCAGATCCGCTCCAAGCTCCCTGTTGTCACAAGACACACGGGTTGTGAACGGGGAGGGAGGGGGCCTTTTGCTCAAGTGGGCACAGTGTATGGGAGGATGCGCAAGGCTTTTGTCATGGGGCCAACTGGGTGTGAGGCCTGGCCTGACAGTTGATCCCAGGAGGCCACTTGACTTCTCCAAGCCTCAGTTTCCCCACATGTAAAATGAATTCCATGATAAACTTCCGGCATGGATCCACTGAAAGAAGCCAAGGAGCTACCACAGAGAACAGATGCACCGGGCGCCTCGGGAGGGGCAGCGGGTGGCCCTGAGCATGGAGCGGACATGTCCGTCTTTGACAACAGATGTTTGTTGAATGACTGACTGAATGAATGGGGTGCTGCAGGAATGAGACTGCCCCCTGCCCTCTCTTATGGGTAATCCTGTTCTCTGTGGCCCTCAAGTCTCCATGGGTCAAGCTGAAACTGTTTGTTCCCAAGTCCCTTTCTTGGGATGTGGGGGTGCAAAGAAGAGGTTGTGGTCACAGTCGACCACAAGCCAAGTATGACTCAACCTGCTGGGGCTCTTGTGAAAGACGGTCAGGGCTGGAGGTGGGAAGGGGAAGGTAGCTTCTTACTTCAGCTCTTCCGAGAGGTGCCCTCAACTGAACAGAGGGCGTGGGGGTGGGGCTTCCCTGGTGCCAGAGGAGGGTAGGGCTGTTGGTGGGGGGCGTGGGGGAGATTAGGGGGCTCCTGCAGGGCTGGGCTCGGGGCCCTGAAGGGGGCACACTGCCTGAGCCCTGGTTGCACATGCCTGGGGTAGGAGGGACCAGGCCGAGGGGACCTCCGAGTGTCCTGACAGGTGAAGTGAGTTGCCCAAGGGAGACTGTGGGTCCCCACCGTTGGTGGTACGGAGAGATGGGGCGATGAGTAAGGGCGTCCTGGGGGAGGCAGGTCTTGCAGCATGAAGTTCCCAGGTGGTGGTCGCTGCAGGAGCCATGGGCCAGGAAGGCCTCGGGTGTGTGTGGGACACCAAGACGCTAGTTTCACCGGAACAGAGTCCATGTCCAAATAAGGCCGGGACGGGCAGCCCAGGGCATGTGGGGGTCTGCACACCCCGCTGGGTGGCCTCTCCTTTGTAAGAGGAGGCTGTGGGTCAAAGTGGCTGTTACAAGTGTGACCTTGGGGGGAGTCACTGAGTTGAAATCCTATGCACTTTTGGGCTGTACAACAGCTCACCGAACACCCCTGCCTCAGATTCAACAAGATGGAGCATGTGAAGAGGAAGTACGAGCTCTCCCGACGGCTGCCAGCCACACGGCAGCCGGGCTGGTCCTTAGGCACAGGGCGTGGGGCCAGGAGGAAGGGCTGGATGAGAGACATTTTGCAACTTGCCCCAGCTGCTCTGGCCTCTCTGGGCCGTGATGAGTAGAGCCCCAGACTGGAGGGAGCAACACAACAGCCACTTCCTTCCTTGCTAGGGTCCTGCAAGCTGTGGTTGCCACTAAGGAGGAGCTGCAAAGCTGCTGTGGCTGCTTGGGGCAGCCCCCGGCCCCTGGCCTGGCCTCGGCCCCGGGGTGCCCTGCGGACTTGGCCCTGCCCAGCCCCGACTCGGCGGGGCTCTGTGGCCACACCCTGCCGTCCCGCGCTGTGCAGGCAGCAGTTGCACCTCCACGCTCTCCCAGGGTCTCCCCTCCCTTTGGGGGGAGGCCTCAGCTTCCTTCTGTCCTAGCCAGAGGCCATTCCCCAACCTGTGGGGGGCCCTTGTCCCTCCGGAGTACTCCCTCCTAACTCTCGGCCCCCAGCCTTCCCGTGGCCGGTGCCTGGTCTCCGACTTCACGTCTGTGCTTTAGAAACAGCCAGCATTACCCCCGCATTGCCACCATCACCACCCAAGGACCACAAATTACATTCTTTGTCCCCATCCCCTGCCACCAAAGTCAAGCACACTGCTGATAACTGCAATGACAGCACCATCAGCCAACATCAGACAGAAACAGCGACTGGTTCACCACCCCCTCCACCAGCACCACCTGTCCTCAGCAGCACCAGGGACCCAGTGTAACCGACTGCCGTCAACAGCCACCACCAGGACCATGGCACTCGCCTTCAGCCGCCACGCACAGCCGGCACCGCTGAAGCGGCGATCGACGCTGCCCCGTTCAAGGGCCAGCCACGTATCCCCGCTGCTCCCAGGATCACCGCCACCAACAGAGAATGTACGGCCAACAGCAGACGGATACACCCCATGTCACTCAACTCTGGACAACGGTGACCAGCAACTGCCATCACTCCATGGGCCTGGCCTCCAGCCAAAAGCAACCGGCCACCATCCACCAGTGCTCTCAGCGGGCTGGTACCCAAACAACCGTCTGCGCTGCCCGCGCCCGCAGAACCATGTGACCACCAGCCTGCGGCAACCTGCAGCAGCCGCGTTGCCACCACAGGCCCCGAGACCCAGCGGCTGTCTTTCCACAGCAACTGCTCTCCAACAGCGAGAATGCGGCCTCCGCCCCCTGCCTTGCTCCGCGGACTCCAGCCCTGAGCGGTCATCACGTCTGTGGCGGAGACAGCGCCTGTGCCGTCTCTGTGAAGTGCTTTATGAACTCTGTTCCCCGGAACCGCTCAGCTCTTCCCCTGGCACTGGCACCCCTCCAGGCAGGTAGGTGTCAGAGGTGCTGGCCTCGTGGGTGGCTTCCAGTCTTTTCGGTGTGGCCCTCGGGTGCGTTTCTCCCTCCCCAGTCCCCATCAGCCAAGCACACGCTGACGAAGCATTCTTCACGCGGCTTCCTTGGGAGGGGCTGCTTTTCTCTCAAGTACCAAATCATTTCCTGTGCTCTTTTGATCAAAGCCTGCCCACCGAAGCTCCTGAGTCTTCCTCGCTTGGCTTCTTCTCGGAAGAATTTCTGCCCCAAGCCCAGAGCTCTAGCTGACGGCTTAGTTATGATTTACACGGACGACGCTTGGCCAGTGATGCCCAATCAGTCACCAGCTTTCTGAAGCAAGGTGTTCCAAGACGAACACAACCCTGTCTCTCGGTCTGCCTTCCCCGCTCTGCCTTGGGGAGCTGTTTGCTGCAACAGCAAGAAGCCCCCGGTTGTCACCGCAAACTCTGCGGCTGTTCCGACCACACGCCCTCAGTGATAGAATGACAAAAAATGAAAGCCGAAGTGGTTGCAGATGCATGGAGCTGTGGGGGTGACTTTTGTCACCAGCCCAGGCTCTCTCTTACTGTCTGTTATGATGCTATTGGGTTTAAGTCCATGACCGTGACAGGCCCGCACTCTGTCACCACAGTCACCGTGAGACCTCGGCCTCTCCAGGCAGCAGCGCCCGGGCTGCAGGGTCTCCTCGCCCTCCTGGCCGGAGAGGGCGCCCGTGCTGGTGTGACCCCCGCGCCTCGCCATCTGCTTCTGCGGTCACCACGGCCAGACCTCCCGTCACTGCAGGGGCACACAGTCACGGCACTGTCACTGCGCCCCTCCACCCGCTTGACACAGCTTCTTCCTCTCCTGGGCTTGGACTGGCTGAACCCACAGACCCTCTGAAGTTCCAACCGAGGGGTCCCCAAAACACCTTCCACATCTCGACTGACTTCCAGATATGACCTATGTGGGGAATGAGGCCGAGGGGGAAGCAACCTGCCCAAGACCGCGCGGGAGATAAGGGACCAGGCTGATCTGGAAACTAGGTTTCCTTTGCCCTCGGAAAGGGGCGCGTCCCTGCCCTTGCAGACACTGTGCAGTCCCTCAGGGCCACCTTCTGTCCTCCAGTTACTGCTCCAGTTTATAAAAGTCCTCACTGGAGGACATGTGTATTGATTTTGGAGAGAGAAACATCGATGTGAGAGAGAAACATCGATCGGTTGCCTCCCGTGCGCACCCTGACCAGGGATGGGACCCGTATGTGCCCTGACCAGGGGTCCTCCGGGCAACTTTGCGGTGGTGTGGGGTGGCGCTTCAACCAACCGAGCCCCCCGGCTGGGGCTGCTGCCCCCTTCCTGGCCCATCAGCACCCTGGCATCCTGTCTGCCGTTGGGTGGGACTTTGGTCCTGGTGAGGGATGCTGGGGCACCGGAGCTGCAGGGAGGGACCCCTAAGAGGCCTGCCGTGCCCCTCCCTGTGTCTCTGCTGTCCGATGGTGGCCTCCAGGGCACCTCCACTTGGCTGGTACCCCCACCCCTGCACTTCAGGGCCCACGCCCTTGAAGGACTTACCATGGTGGGGGTGCTGTCTGGGTCTCCGGGGGGGGCCTGAATGGGCAGTGGCAGGGGTGCAGGCTCAGAGGGCTCCGGGGGGCGGTTCAGGCATGGCCCTGCTCCTTCTCCTCCACCAGACTCCCAGCCCTAGTTCCTCTTACAGCAGACCCCTCTCACTTCCTTTGGCGGGAGGGGCCACCGCTACAGGGGAGGGAAGCTGGGCCCAGGGGGCGGGGAGAGAACTCCAGCAGCTGGCAGAGCTGAGGGAGCCAGCTATTTGGGGCTCTGAGCCTGAAGGGAGAGGTCCAAGATTGATGGCAGCTGCTGCCAGACCCTGGAAGTCCCCTTCTCCAACTCCGTGGGGACAGGGGCTGCAGCACAGAGCACGCAGGTCAGTTGGCTGCAGGACTGACCGCTCTGTTCAGGGTGACCCCAGGAAGCACCTGGGCTGCCCAGGTCTCTACAACCACCAGTCAGGCATGTGTCTTCCCTGGGCATCCCTGAACGATCGCCTGCTTCCGGAGCTGCCTCAGACGGTCCTTCCTTCGGGACAGTCTTCGCAAGCGGGCATGTGTGTGTCAGCGGTGGGAGGGCAGCGGGCGTGGGGGCGCCAAGAGCCAGGTGCGCCTGCAAGGCCCCAGGCTTTGCAGCTCAGCTCTGGATTTAACGACCCCCAGCTCTGTTACTTCCAGGGCTCCCCTATTTTCTCATCAAAAAACAGAGGTGCAGGCCCTCCCAGCAGCATCTGACACACACCAGATCGATCAAGTGTGGACCCATGACCTGACCTTTGGGAGGTCGGCACGCCACACACGGGTCTCCTCTGGATATCTGAAGAAATGGCAGTTCTGAGAGGTTGTCACCTCCCCGAGCCACACAGTGAGGAGGTGGCAGAGGCGGAAGCCTAGACCCTGGGAAAGCCTGGCAGGGAGGTAGGAGGACCAAGGCACCCCTGAGGCCCAGGCCACAAAGCATCCTTCCCGGGGGGTGGCAGGCCCCATTGCCTCTCCGCGGCCAAAGGCGGGGAGGTCCCTTCTCCCTGAGACCCTTGAGCATATGGGCCGCGGGATTGGCCTGGCACCTGCAAAGCTCAGCAAATGCCTCCGGGCACTAAGAGTGAATATGCAGGCAGGAGAGCCCCCACCTTTTGGGGGGCATACGGGAAGGCTTCGGGGAGAAGGAAATCTTGCGCTGAGTCTGCACGGTAAGTCGGAGTTAACCAGGTGAAGAGGGAAGGGAAGGGCATACCCGGCTGAGGAAGGAACTCAAGCCAAGGCAGGTGCGGCTGGAGCTTGCAGAGGGACCAGGAGTGTGGTGGCTAGGATGGCAGGTACCAGATCCTGAGGCTTCCAGAGCCTCCCTGAGGAGCTGCATATTTGTCCTAAGATCACTGGGCTCTAGTCTGTGTGGGTCAAAGCCTCCTTCCAGGTCCCTGGGGCCGCTTCCAGTCCAGGGTAGGGACACACACACGCCACGTGCGGAAATCTACACAAGACAGAGCTTTATTGATGTAGCACTTCCTGGCAAGGGGTGTGTGGGCCCAGGGCAGGGCCTGCAGCACCACGACGGGGGTGGCCTGGATGTTGGGGTCCCCCTGAGGCAGGTGGGGCAGAGGTTGGAGTGGCCTTCCCACCTCTAACCCACCCTGTAGCTGGCATGGTCAGGGAAGGGGCGTCAGGGAGGTGGTGCTAATCTCCGTTCCCCCACGGGACACAGACCCCCTCCAGCCCAGAGTGGAGGGATAGGGCAGTGCTGGCGGTCAGGGCACTGGCTGACCCCTTTCCCCGCCCCCACTCTTCACAGTATATATTCCGATCAAAGATGGGGGAGTTTGGGGGACTCCCTAGGGGTGGGTGTAAAGGGCGCTAAGTCAAACAGTTGTTCCCTCCTCCAACCCACCCTGGAGGGGGTCTCACTGTGAAGTGGGACAGGGGCTGAGGGGGGGCCCTGGGCGGGGGTATGGCCAGCCCCGCTCCATTTTCCAGCCTGGGGCCCTGCAGGGGCTCCCAATAAATAACGTCCGGCTCCATCTCACCCTTCACTCCCAGCTCCTGCCCTCACACTCCTTCAGGCTGGCCAGCTGTGACCGGTCCCCGTCCCCGCCCCGCAAGCCGGCGCTCAGTTGTGCCTCAGGGGGCTGCGCGCCCCTAGCGGCCATGGCAGGTTTTGCAGCACATCTGGCGGAAGTAGGCTCGGCTGCAGAACTGAAATTTGAGCACTAGGGGGCAGTAGGCGACCTTGTTCACATCTTTGCACTCTGCAGAGGGTAGGAGCGGAGTGGGAGTCAGGCCTTGGAGCCCCTGGGCTTCATGTGGATTATTTTATTCCATCTCTCTAATGCGGCACACTCTCAAGTGAATATATTTTTTACCCCCTGACAGAGGAGAAAACGAAGGCAAGAGGTGGAAGATGAACCCAGGCAGTTTGGCTCTTGTGCCTCCGTAAGTAATCTATTGCTAAGAAAAAGTTTACTTAAATGGAAAAAAAGGGTACATTTAAAGTAGTGGTTCTCAAGGGGATGCGACTCCCCCCCCCCAGGGGATGTTTGGCGATGTCTGTCACACCCGCTCGTGGGGAGGGTACCCTACTGGCATCCACAGGGGCAGGTCAAGGATGCTGCGAAACATCCCGCAATGCCCAGGACAGCCCCACGACAAAGGGTCACGTGGCCCAAGATGTCAATCGTACTAGAGGTTAAGAAACCGATTTGAGGAAAGGATATTAGGCAAATAATGCTACTGGTGGAGGTGAATAAGTCGAAGGTCATGGAGGTGGCTGGAGGCGTGACCCACGTCTGGGCCCCCAAAAGGATCAGGTGCCTAAAATGCTTGGCACACAGTGGCACTTAACAAATGTCTGCAGGGAGGGGATAGTGAGACTGGCCCGCAGGAGACAAAAAGGCGTTCTAGTGGCTGGGAGGGGTGTGTGCGCCCCCTGCCCCCCCTGCCCCGCGGTCAGCACGCCCACCTCTCTGGTGGCTTCCTCTGCCCAGGCCCCTCCTGTGCCCCTTGGTCTCCTGCCCCACATACCTTCGGGACTGTCCCCGGGGGGTGTGCTGTCACACTTGGCCTCGCACTGCTGCGTGGTGGGTGGCCGCAGGGCCTCGGTGCACTCGTGCGACGGCTGGCCGGTGTGGCTGGAGCAGCGCACAGCGCGCTGTTGCTGCCCGAGGCCGCACTGCGCGGAGCACTGCGGGGCGCCTCGGATGAGCTCCCGCACAGCTGCTCCTGTCCTGGCCTCCACCCCCCAGGGGCACCCACCTACCTCGCCCCACTCTCCTGCCACCCAGCGGGCAGGGGGGCAGCGGCGCAAGTTGCAGCGCATGGTGGTTGGCGGCTTGGCTGTGGGTGAGCAATGTGCGGGGGGCAGTGTGGTGTGGTGGTCTGCGCTCTTGCAAAGGACGACGCGATGGCGGAGGCCCGGCCCGCAGCTGGGGGTGCACTGCAGTCGGGGTGGGGGGCGTTCATGCTCAGCGGGCCGTGCCCCCTCCTGTGCCCACGTGCACAGGGAGTGGGAAGGATGCTGCTGGCCCAGTGGGTGGCCAGGAGGGGCTGGCTAGCCCTGGACCGGGCCGGAGGGTCCGTCATGGCTATTGAAAGGGGCCTGTGACTACAGGGGTGGGCGGTGCCTCTGCGGCCGCCGGGACCCAGGTCCTGCCCTGCGCTGCCCAGGGAGGGGGTTGGGCAAAGGTGGGAAGGGTGTCTGACCTCCGACCATTCCAGGGCGGTCCATTCTGGCGGGCAGGCGGGGCCGTGGCAGGCTTCCAGGACAGGTGGGCGCGGCTGTGGGCACGCGTTATCGTCCAGCGTCTTCTCCTCGGCAGCCGACACGCGGCGCAGACACACAACAGAGCGGCTGCGCACGCCGGCATCACAGCTGCGGCTGCAGCGTGACCAGTTCCCCACAACCCAGCTGTGGGGGACACGGGGGTCTGAGCGTGTACAGCAGGGCGCCCTGGCCCTGGGGCACTAGCATCTCCTTCTCCTGCCTAGCACCCAGCAACGCTACGGAGACTGGCACCGAGCTGGAAGCCCGGGCTCGGAACATTATGTCCGTGCTGGGGTGGGAAGGTACATCACCCCAAGGGGAGGTGACTACCTGCGCTTGAGGAGGAACACCCACTCTGATTCCAGGAGAGCCCAGACCCGGCCCTGGGGGACACCGTCACTCCAGTCCTGAGGCCACTTGCTCCTCTGATCCCAGCAGCGAGGCCCCTGTTGCCGCGACCCCGCACACTGGCCAGTACTCACTCAGGGGGGCAGGGCTCTGTGTTGCAGGCCCGCTGCCTCTTGGGGAGCTTGCTGTGGGCACTGCAATGGTGGGGGGCCACGGCCGAGCTGTCCAGCTGGTTGCGGCATTCCACGGCTTGCACCTGGCTGCCTGGGGGTGGGTGAGAGGCCCGCTCAGCCCTGCCCAGTCCAGGAGGCCAGGCGACTGGAGCCCCCCACCCCACCCTGGGCTCACCACCGGCACACTGGGCAGAGCACTTGGTCCAAGGCGCGTAGTGCCAGGAGTAGGGGGGCAACGCATCGCGGGTGATGGGCGCGTTGAATCGGTAGCGGAGGGCAGGCAGCTCTGTGCGGGCCAGCACCTGGGGTGGGGAGGGAGTGCATCAGAGCCAAGTCGAGCTTGGAGTCCCCACAAGGGTGACACCCTCTGCACTTTGTGTCCACCATTACCATGACGATGAGAGATGCATTAATGGGTCCCAGGGCTTCCAGGCTCTGCGTCTGATTTGGCCCTGGTCGCAGCTGAAAGGTGGTCCCAGCCAGGGGCAGGCGGTGCGGCTGGGGGGTCCCGGGCACCCCCTCCAGCAGCAGGGACTCCTGGTCCCCCTTCAGGGCTGAGGGATAGTGCAGGGTCAGAATCCCGGCCAAGCTGAACCCCAGCCCTCCAGCCCTGCTCGCCAGCTCACCTAGGTGACTAAGGGACAGGTTCAGGTCCTGGATGAAAATGTGGATGGAGCCTTTGGGGATCCAGACGACTTCCTCGTACCCTGGACAGTGAAGTTAGGTGTCGCCTACTTGGCCTGTCTCCTACACCTGCCTGCCTCCTTCGGCCCCAGATGATAGCAGCTAACCATTCCTGCACTAAACGCTTACAGGGACATCATACTGTGTCCCCAGCTCCAGCCCTGGGAAGT